AATACATAGTGAGATTTACCTAAAATAACTATTGAAGAAAAGAAACAAATATTAGATTGATACTTGTCATAAATGAAATTCAAGTATGGAAAGAAATAGGTTTTAATCTTCACATTAAGAATGACATACTTTTATTTCATTACCTCCTTGTGATTTGAACTCACATTTGCATAGATGTCCACATTATGAACTGTAGGGCAATAGGACCAGGAAACCCCTGTATCAAAACTTGCCTTCCTTCATTAAATGTATCATTTTTTGGATTAATAAAAGAGCCATAATTATGGTTTTCTCTTAGGATTCCCATGAGGTAAAACGGCACTGGCAACCTCTACTGAATCAAATTACTATGACAATTTTAAGGAAATGCACAAAATATCAACCCTATTGTGTCCTTTTAAATCAATACACTTACTATTTTTAACATCTAGACAGGAGACTAATACCGCCATTAATCCTGCTACAGCTACCGGGCTCATCAATGATCTATCACTATGATATGGTGATAATGTCAAGGTACCTTTACCAAGATGAGTTAAACCTTGAGCTAGTCGTACCATAAATAAGTTATTAGCATCTTTAGCATGGTATAATGCCAGTTGTCGCAGAAGTGCAGCTAATCTGGCATTGTTTGTGCCTGTAGAGAGATAGAAAGTTAGAAGGTAAGAACTTTTAAATAATGTACACTTCTAAAATAAGTACTAATTATTTATGTTGAAATCTAGTCTACTCCAAGAAGCACCAATAGTATCTTTGGTAGAACTTTCAAAATTGATTTGACCTGCTAATTCAAACCAGTGAAAAGTGATTATTTTCATTAGGGGAGAGAGAGAGAGAAATGGGGTTTAACGTCCACTCGACACAAACTATAACATATGGTTTAATTTTATTTCAATAATTCGCTTGCGCATAGGGGTCTTTAGCAGTGGGAGGAAACCGGAGGACCCAGAGAAAACCCACGAGGTTGGACAGGAGACCCTACTCCTTGTCACGTACAACCGGGGATGCGAAACCACACCAGTTGACTCAATGACAGACTTTATGATACAGCGTGCACGCTAACCATTCAGCCATCCAACCCCCCTATTTTCATTAGGAATGAATTCCAACTACAAGGGAGGATTGCTTTGTGACAGAGAGAGAGAGAGAGAGAAATGGGGTTTAACGTCCACTTGACACAAACTAAGTCATTTCGGGACTAACACATGGTTCAATTTTATTTCAATAATAGGGGTCTTTAGCAGGTTGGACAGGCGACCCTACTTCCTGTCACGTACAACTGGGTCGCGAAACCACGCCAGTTGACTCAATGACAGACCTTATGGTACAGCATGCACGTGCACGTGCTAACCATTCAGCCATCCAACCCTCCAAGTCTGGACAATATATATCCCACAATTGTGCAAAAGTTACATAACATCCACTAAAGACACATCATTTCTTAGTGCCATTTCTTCAAATCAAAAATAATAAATAGTTTATCTTTACCTGCACCAACTATACCCATGGCTATAATAGCATTGTGTGAAACCTCAGGATCACTATCGTGAGAGAATTTGCTAAGTGTATCCAATATCTGTAGTTTAGGGTTAGAAACTGAGATGAGAGCTAATGCCAATGGTACAGCTCTTCTCATGCCAACTTCTCCATAACGTAACTATAATAAATATAAATACATTATTATTAGAAATGAAATAAGATTTAACGTCCTGCTTTTATATTAGAAAGATTAAATAGCTTTATTCAAAGAGTTAAATTTGTCAAATTAAAGTGTTCCATTGCATTGTTTTGTTATACAAACACCCGCGCTACAAGCATACAGTGTGGGATAGTACTATACAAATGTTCACAATATTATTATATAACATGATTAATTAGCAGCAGTTTCAGATTATATACATCTATTTAATAATTTAAAGTATAAACACTGTGCTTCAAAAAGTGCGATAGACAAACGGCTAGATGGACAATTAACAACAGTCATGTCCTTTTTAGAACAATATTACATTATCACTGTACATACCAAATGTCCGAAAGCTCTAAATGCCATTTCTCCCCCAATTTCTTCTCCCATAGCAATTAATGCTATACCTAATACACTAACACCTGAAATGAAATGAAAAGACGTTGAACATCTTACTGTTCTGCAATGACTGAGCTAATGAAGACGAGCATATGACATACAGTGTGCTATGAGGGAAATTTTTCCCAGACAGCGACACTACAACCTACTCCTATATTAATTCCCACTGCCAAGGGTTCTTTTAAGCGCACACCAATGTGTACACTGGACCGCGTTTTTTTGTCGCATCAGAATGACAATAACAGGCCCTCCTCCCTACACCACTGTCTAGGGGGAACCACGCCGGAAATCCTGATGAACTTTCTCTGCCAGTGCAGGGATCGAACAAGGCACCTCTAGGGTAACGAACCAACGTCTTACCCATTGGGCCACCACAGCATACACACCTTATACCGAACCCAGGGATAGAACTTTATTTGAAAACACACAAGCAAAATTTCGCTTGTTGATTTCAAATGTACAAGCAAAAATAGGATTTTGAAGAAATTCAAGGGGCAATTTTTTTCTTTAATGAAAAAACATAAAAAAAAGTTTGTGTTTATTCGGCCGTACATATTTTTATAGCTACCCTTGAAAACTCGTTTTTTTCTCATTCAAGCGTATACCTTCTTGAGGATGCATTATATAATACAAGGATAGTAAATTAAACTATAAAACATAAGTACTATGTGTCAAAAAGTGTCCATTGATTTAGTAATTTTTCGGATCACGGACAGCTATGCATGACACGTACGTCCGACGCTGAAGTGAATGATAATTAAATCAGTCTACCGAAACTCTCGGCATTATTTATATTTCTGCTTTATTAAAATTTATTTCAATCTGAAAATCAATGATTCCTTTAGAAAATCAAAGTATCGGTATAAACAATTTGTCAAGATTTATAGAAATTGAAAAGAAACGGATAATGCTAATGGGTGGAAAATTGAGCGCGAAGTCACGTGACGTAAACAAAGCTCCTTATATTATAATATTATAGTACTTATTCATCATTAAGCAATAAAATGACGTAAATAACATCAAAAGGTAAACATTTTTTCAATATTTGTGTTAAATATCATCCAGAATACTATTAATAAACTGTTTGTCAATTTCTGTCCGTGAAAGCAACGTATATTTTTGACCGATGTCGGAGTTTGCTTGATGGAATATAACGACAATAATGAAAGGACAGATAGTCGAACACTAAAAGAGGTCATTTATGATATGTGTGTATTGTTTTTATTGAATAGGGTAAACTCCAAGCCGATAAAATATAAGATTTTTACCCCGATCAGTTCGGGGGAAAAAACGCATGCGCAGATGTCACAAAACGCCGGATATAGACATCGCTTTATTTACATTTTGCAAGGAACTTAGGACGGAAAATAATCTATAGAATTTCTGTTTTTTGTCATAATTATCGTCTTGATTTTGCGTAAAAGAAGAAATCTTGTTATTCAATAACAATAAGTGAAAAAATGTTACACGCATTTTTTTTCGTGTGACATATTTTGTGACACGCAGTCTACAAAATCAACATGCATTTTGCGTGTTTGCGTCCGTCAAATTCGATCCCTGACCGAACCATTCATCAGATATACCTCTGATTTATCAATAAATATGAATCAATGCTACTGACCTTGTTGTACTGAAAGATCGGGACCAGCTGGTTCTTTTTCTTTTTTATCATCCTTCTTTTTATTTTTATCATCTTTCTTTTCATTATTTTCCTGCAATAAAAAAGAATTATCCATATATAGTAATATTAATTTGAATATTGGACAATTTTAATCAATATCATTCATGTAGTAGAGTGTTTAGATATTGACTTGGCTTGTGTATTCAGTTAACATCCAGGTACAATATAAAATTTAAAACAATGGTCAATAGCTGATGCTATCAAGAATCCAGTTATTCAATGGCGACAAATATGGAGAACACGATTCAGAGAGAGAGAGAGAGTTAGAGAGGGAGAGAGGAACTGAGGTTTAATGTCCACTCAAAATAAACTGGGTTATTTTGGGATTAACATGTGGTATAATAAGATTATTTTTATTTCAATAATTAACTTGGGTGAAGCGATCTTTAGCAGTGTGAAGAAATTAGATGTTAGCCAAGCGAGTCTTATGGTCACATCTATCTATACTAATATTTGTGACTATCGCTTGTTTGTCCATCTGTTCAGGGTTGGCTATACTAGGGCTGTCTCGAGGCTGAAATTTGGTGTATAGAAGTAGCTCAGAACGGGGAGTAACATAGGCCTGTACCCGTGCTACGCCTGGTCAACCGCTGGTATAAACATAAAATCAAAACACAACAACAACATGACAGACAGACCTTATGATTTAAAATGCATGCTTTAGACCACTCGGCCACTCAACTACTCAAAACATGTTTCACTCGTGATTGCTGAAGATCTGTCCTTGTTTTCGTGAAGTCTGCTTGTCGCCCATTTTTCTCAAGTTAAGAGAGAGAGAAAGCTAGAAATGGGGTTTAATTATTCATGGGATTCACTGAATTATATAAAGATGAAACTTACTGAATCTTTTGAATCATCATGTTCCGAGCAGACGTGAAGCAAATGCTGTACTTTCAGCACGTTGCCCGTTCCTGCATACGCACAAACATCAACTAAAACTGTGGCCATAGATTTCAATGGTTCACCTACAACCTCTAAAGCTACCAGTGTCGCGTCTACAGAATCTTGTTTTCCTAAAATACATTACCATACACAATAATAATAGGTTGATAATTGAAATTAAATGAAATGGGGTTTAATGTCCTACTGGTCTGCTCCATCTGGGTTAATGAAGATGGGCATATGCCATGCAGTGTGCTACATCCTTCTCTTATATCAATTTCAACTGCCAAGGATCTTTTAAATAAAACTTTGGTCCAGCATTATCTTTTGATTAAAATTTTTGCAAAAAAAATTTCAAATAAATCGCTGCATTAGATTAGAGAATTTGAGAGACTGTTTATTATTAATCAAAGAATTTGTATTATCAGTATGAGTCATACCTAAATATGGTAAAGCTAAACCAAGAGCTAAATATCTAGAATATGTGTCTTTAAGTTCGGATTCTGATCTTTCCATCATAGTTTGTAGAATAGTAGATGTAACTTCACCATTACAGCTCCCAACAGATATCATACCGCATGCTAATGCCGCCATACCAATAACCTTCAATTATAAATAATTAATATTTATTTATTCACATAATAGGAAAACGGAGAGGGGTACGGCAACAATCCCTTGAATTAAAAAGATAGCTGGACAGGCTGGTACATCTGCGTCGGGACTGGATCAAAAACTGATGCCGGCGGGGCGGAGTAGTAGAATGAGTAAAAATTAAAGAGTCCCCGCCAAACAGAACCAGCAACAGACTTGTAGATTTTAAAGATCTTTATATGAATCAACATTTCGGGTGTAATACCCTTTTTCAAGAATGATTTTTTATGAATCCTGTGACGCCTTATATACAAACAAAAGAGATGACGTCACAGGATTTTAAATTTATGTACAATGACTGGTTAAACAGTAAAAGATTGTTAAAATTAAGGATTGTTAAAATTAAGGATTGTTAAAAAAATAAGGATCGTTAAATTTATTTGTATGTACAAAAAGATTTTTAAAAATAATAAATTAAAGATAATAAAATTATTAAAGTAAATTAAATAGTGATTTAGGTTTTATTTTGACAGTAAAATTTTTTTTTAGGTGAATTATCGCATATTTAAATAAGATAATTGTCATTAATTTCTTCTAAAATAGCGGTGGCGGTGGCTGTTTCTTCTTTATTGGTGTTATTAATGGGAACTGGGATGGTACTTTCTGGATTATCTTCTTTATAAGGTTGAGTAATCATTTGATTGTTTTCAACTTTTAGTTCATATTTATAGCCCTTTACGTAAATAAATTTTGGTCTTGATTCAAAGGGTCGAATCCACGTTGATGGTGGTAAAATTGGTATTGATTCTGCTTGATTTCTTTTAACGTTATCGTTTTTCTTGATGGTTGAACTTGCGGCTTTTTCGGTTTTCTTATTGACAGAGTTGTCCACTGGTGCGGTTGACTTTTGGTATGTCATCCCTTCTCTTCTTTTCTTTTTGATGGTTGTAGTTTTATGCACATTTCTAATGTGTTTTTTACCATTACTTCCGTTTAAGAATGTTTTGCTGCAAAACGGACATTCGAATCCCATCTTCGGTTTTTCTTAAGTTTGTTCGTTCAAACCTCCAGGAGCTTGGGTTGCTAAGAGGTCGATGATCGATTCTTGGTGACGTAATCGGACGTTGGTGTTACGTCCCGTTTTAGCGATAATTTGGGCTTGAAATTTGTGTCCCGTGGTACTAAAATGTTTGGCTACGGGGGTGTCATTAAATTTTCGGATATCGTTGGTATGTCCGTATAAACAGATTTTTAGAGAATTGACGGACTTAATAGTAAGTGTATGAGGATCGTACTACACAGAAAAACAAAACCTGCAGACAAATTACACAAGACATTGCAAGAAATAAACAACAAATATCAAACTGAGTGAATGGATTGAGGGTGAACTCGTTTTCACAGAGACTCTTTCTGGCTATACTGTAACAATTCCCTGACTTAAATTGCAGCAAATCACCATTAAACAGGACCTGATCTTCATGTGAATATTCATTGTTTAATCTGTTTTTGATGAAAGCTTGCATGTCCACACATACAACCACAAAACTAACTCTTATATTAAAAAGTTAAATGTCAGTTCCCATTGATGTACTGTATAATTAAATCAGTATCAATGTGTGACAGTGGCTATAACAATGCAAATAGGTTTGACCATATGTAACAAATACTGAAGTTATTAAAAATCTAACTTTAGTTTAAAAAAATAATTCCACAAAGTAATACTTACCTCCATGTTAGATTTAGAATCTCCCATAACAGGTAAAATAAGACTAATAACATCATCTCTATTTGATCCAGCATAAGCTAATCCTAATCTGTAATACAATTCAAACATATATATCTGTGTCCATAATAAACATTTCATGGATGTTGGCTACAATTTTGTGGTCTAAGGGGACATAATATGAGTTTAAGAACCATAGAAAGAGTTACCTCCCTTTGTATTGCATCCCTCTCGAGAAATTCATATTCTTATTTCTATTCAATATACTACTCACAATACTTAGCCTATTTCAATTGTTTTACAAGATTTCCATTCTGAAAGATACTAGAAAACATTGATTTTCACTGCCGTTTAATACAAGAGAGAGAATATTTGAAAATTGGAAGATGACAACAAGCACAGAAAGTCTTCAGTTCCTGGTATCTCTTCTATCATACACAATGAAACGACTGTTTAGATATCAGTAGAAAACTCACCCAACTATTGCTCCTATCCTCATCACGTTACTGTTATGCATGACATAGTCTGTTAACAAAGCTAAAGCTGGGTCACATTCATTTCTTACACCAGAATTAACTATACCACAAGCTAATAAAGCTCCAGCCTAAAATACATACATTATAAATTCATAGAAATTATGTTAAAACATTTTTTCAACATTTTCCTCAAAATTTCTAAATACTGACAACCCAAGGAATTTATACAATTAATTAACATGGAAATTTTTCTTTTACTTACTTTAATATAATCTTCAGATGAATATAAATATTTATCAATCTGTGTTAATCCACCATCTACATCCCATAATAATATAAGACCTAGAGATGCTGCAGCACTTAACATGCCTATAAAATAAAGAAATGATTCTTTTTAATACATGATTACAAACTACAATGGACATATTCTTAATTGAATTTCAACTACAACCTTGCAAAGACTATTTCTCATGATTACTGCTACTAGTTAAATATTAGAAATTTTTATATTGATAATTATGCCACCATATTCAATGACAAAGCTTACTCCAGTTTCCTTAATTATCATCATCTAAAAGTAGACTTCAACCAATCCCCTTGAGTAGCTGCCGAATACATATTCTACTGTATATACAAGCTACTACACTGATATTGCATGTGCGTGCATCAAAGCTGTTACTATACATGTAGGGCTTCATTATTTGGAAGATACATAGAGAATGTCATAGGCAAAATGCCTACATCAGATCCCTGATTGAATTCAAAACAGTAAAAGAAGGGCAAGTAATAATGAATTTAATCATTCAAACTTAAGCATACTCTTTTTTTTAAAATTCATGACATCATATTCAAATCATTATTCATAATTTTTGTTTTGAACCTTTTTTACAAGCATATGATACATGGGAAATTATTATTTTGAGGCAAATATTAAATGTATCATGTCTTTTCACAGATTGGTGAAGTTCTGATTATTAACTATCTACATTTGGGTGCTGATCATAGTTAATTATCCACTGTTGATCATCTTCAACAGCAGTAACAGAGAGAGAGAGAGAGAGAGAGCGCGCGCGAGAGAGAAATGATGTTTAACATCCACTCGACACAAACTAGGTCATTACGGGACTAACATATGGTTCAATTTTATTTCAATAATATGCTTGCGCGTAGGGGTCTTTAGCAGTGTGAGGAAAACAGAGGACCCAGGGAAAACCCACGAGGTTGGACAGGCGACCCTACTCCTTGTCACATACAACTGGGGAATTGAAACCACGCCAGTTGACTCAATGATAGACCTTATGATACAACGCGCACATGCTCACCATTCGGCCATCCAACCCCCCCAACAGCAGTAACAAGTGGCTTTGAGATATCAGACACAGATGAAACCCCAGGTTGGTGTTACCCCTAAAGCTTCATCGACTGGTGGCATGGCTAGTTTGAAAAGTTGATGTAAAAAACAAATCTATTTCTTTATATAAAGAATGTGATATTTTCAGTTTATGTAAATTTGATAACCAACTAGATTTCATGGGATTTGCATGCAGTAGTGACATTGGCATGCACGTAAAAGAACCCTTGACAGTTGGAATTTGATAAGAGAAGGCTATAGCACTGCTGTCAGGTAAAATTTTCCTAACAGCACACTGTATGGTGTAAGCACGTCTGCATTAGCCCAGTCGGTGCAGAAAGTAGAATGTTAAACCCTATTGCATTTTTTGGCATCACAGCTGTTATATAATCACTTTAGAAATGAAAGCTGAACATTCACTGGATGTGAGGGGTACCACAATATTTAAGATTCAAATTATAGCAGTTTTTCAAATGACATATCTTACCATGTTCTTTGTTCTTGAAGAACCATTTATTACCATCTTCCATTAATAATTTATCGGCACCAAATGCTGCATTAACAAAACCATTAACAAAAGATGCTGCTAAATTCTGTCTAGCACTATCTACTGTACTTGGTCCAAGTGTAGATCCTGTTGATGGAAAATAAACTTTTAATACAAAATTTATGTTTGCTATTTTCATAGCTGTAATGAAAGGAAATGAGGTTTTAAGTCCACTTGATCAGGCCATTTATGGGACTAACATACATGGTATTTTGGAATACATTTTTTTCTTATTCAACTAAGGATGGGAACAAGAAAACCGACTGCATACATGGCAAACTAAAGATCTACTATATAAATTGCTTTACTGCTTTAAATGTTGATTGGTGAATTTAACAGCAAGGAAGGAAGAGTTTAAAACTTAATAATCATATAGAATCCAGCGTATCTCTGTAATTCTCAGTCTGTCAATAATTCTTTCGGCTCCATACATATAATATATAACCTTACTATCCAATTACTCTGAAGAATAGTATACTATTCAAAAAAAGTAGGGGATATTTGATTTTTAAGTGTTATTAAAGTCACCTAATGAAACTGACGAAGAAACAAATGACAAAATGAAATGAAGTTCACATTCATCGATTTATTCCAAATGATCGTTAGACTAAGTAAGGCACAGACTGACCATTATAAGGGTAAAATGATACCCGGGGTCAAACAGCAAAGTTACCACAGCATCACAACCAAGTCAGTAACGGGTAAATCCTCCTCTGTTTGCCAAACAAGCATTGATCCGACGTGGCATACTCCTAATGAGACGTCTAAGGTCATTTTGGTCCAGATTGTCCCATTCCTGTTGCAACGCAGCAGCAAGTTCTTGGACATTGGCAGGACGTTGTTGACGTTGACGTAACCTCTGTCCAAGCATGTCCCAGACATGCTCGATGGGGGAGAGGTCGGGACTCAGTGCTGGCCAAGGTAATGTGGTGATGTTCTGTTGTTGGAGGTAACCTGTAACGATCCTGGCCCTGTGACATCTTGCGTTGTCATCCTGGAAGATGAAACGGCGGCCATGACGTCGTGCGAACGGCACAACATGGACTGCCAAGATGTTGTCCCGGTAGTACTGGCCTGTAACACGCCCTGCAACAACATGTAAAGCCGTTCTTCCAGCAACAGTGATGCCTCCCCACACCATAACAGAACCACCCCCAAATCGATCATGTCTGATGACGTTAACGTCTTGGAAGCGCTCGTTTCGACGACGCCACACCCTCCTACGTCTGTCCAAAAAATCAACAGTGAACCTTGACTCATCTGAAAACATCACATTGCTCCAGCGTCGATTATCCCAGTGTTGACGATCCCTACACCAACGACGTCTTGCCTGAATGTGATGATCTCTCAAACAAGGGATCACGCGAGGACGTCGGGCGCGAAGGTGACCCCTATGCAGTCGATTCCGAATCGTCTGGCCACTCACTCTCACACCAGTGTCTGTTTGAAGACGAGCGCTGATCTGATTTGCTGTGATGACACGATTTCTCAAGGCCAAGGTACGGATAAATCGATCCTGGGCTTGAGTTGTCGCCCTTGGTCGACCTGAGCGTGGTCTGTCCTGTACAGATTGTGTATCACGGTATCTGGACCATAGCCTGCTTATGACAGACTGAGAAACATTCATCGTCCGCGCCACAACCGCCTGTGTTGTGCCGATCTGTAGCATGCCAAGGGCACGTAACCTTTCATTTTGGGCGTCACATGTAACTGGAAATGTTTCTTCTGTTAGGTTCTATAGTGTCTTTTTTCGTAGTCATTTGCATATTTTAGTATTATGCCCCCAAAATCAAATATCCCCTACTTTTTTTGAATAGTATATTTACTCCACCCCCCCATGTTATGCAGACACTGAAGGATATAGATCTGTGCTATTTTATAACACAAACTTCTAACAGTTTCAGAGTTTCTCGTTACTTACTATTAGGTTCTAAATGACTTTTATAAATATCTTCAGGTACTTTAGGCTCCATTATATCCAACTGTAAAAATAAAGAGAAATATTCCATATTAAACATACATTATGCAAAAGGTAAATCTGCCTATTGCAGGTCTGAAATGTTTAGACCATAATCAACTCTCAATGCCATCTAATGTGTCCGATTTTCATTGGATTTAAATCCGAACTGCTATTCAACGCCTATTGATGATTAACCACAAAATATGGATAATTGAGACTATGTTAATTGTCATGACAGCGGTAACAATGACAATCGAAGCTACAGGGATTTTAAAATATGGTTTCTCGGCTTAGAGTGAAGCTATCTGACTAGAGATTTTCAGCATATTGCCTTTTCATTATCTAGTTTTTAACTATTATTTGTGAGAACTACCAGTTTCTTATCTAATCTTCAATAATGTAACCTTTAATTTACACAGTTGTTTTTTGATTAAAATCACATTGTCTCTACTTTTATCTTAAATCAATATGTTCATGGTCCATATCTTATAAAAATACAGTTAATGTGGGAAATCTACTTTCATTAAACCTGCTTGTATTCATGGTCATCTTTTATGCCTGGTGTCAATTCTAACTCAAGCAAAGCTTCTTGAAATTTGACATACCTCTCGAGCTAAAGCCAGAAAGTTATTATTTAGATGAGCATTAGACATTATTTCGGTTAATTCATCATATTCTTCCATATCTTCATTTAACTCTAAAAATATCTGTTGACGTCCTAGTAAATAAGCTAGTTGTTTCTGCATGTGTCTGTAAAAGCAAATGATCTACTAATAATTTTAATTTTTCTATCTAAATGAAATGAAAGCAAACAAAATTTCTGAGCTACTAAAAATTGTTTTATAAAGTAGAAGAAGGGGTCAGAATCAAATCTACTTTCTAGATGATACATGCAAGATAATGTTTATAAACAGCAAGTGTTTAAACATCTAATAATTTTACATGTAATGTAAATGGGGTTCTGTACAAGTATTTACTAAAGATCAGAAAAATTAACAAAGTCCAACAAAAACTATGAAAGTTGTAGTATTTTCTCTCTGCAACATCCTATTTTTCTGTGATTGGGTTAATGAAGACGGTCTTTGTATATGAATATATAATAAAAGAAACACATAAATTACTAACGTGTCATTGCAAGAATAAAATATTTCTTCTATAAGTTTGATGTCGTTTAAATGGAGAGCAAATCGTAAGGCTTGTGGAAATTGTTTAAATTTAAGATATATATCTACAGCTGTTTTTATAAGTGTAGTGTTTTCAGGATCTGGTACATAGGGTACACAACTGAAAAATAAAATGGTATGAAAGTTAACTCAACAAATATTTACTCAAATAAAACCCCCACACATCAATATTTCAGAAACATTACAAATTCTGACAAATAGATGCAAAGTCAATGTAAGATATTTTAATTTCATTTCTTCAAATACCAATCAATTTTTGATTTTATGATAGAAACACAAGATTGTGTTTTGGCTAATCAATAATTATTTTCTCTTGAAAAAGGCATGATATTTGTATTTCAATACATACCTTGTTAGATAGAGACAAACTCTAGAATAAACTGAGTCATCAATATATTCCATCAATAAATCTAATCTCTCTATTTCCATCAATAGATCACACGCTTCTGCTTCTGCGTTATGCGTCATATGATACGGTACTATTTGCTTAGTTAGAATAATAAGTTGATCTTTCATAATTTTATCACCAATTTCAGTATCCTGCCATTCCTGTGCAATCTGACCAGTTAGATGCCTAGACAAAAGACACAATGATTATTGACATAGAACACAATGATTATATTTGATTAATATATAGAACACATCCAATTGATATATAATAAAATAATTATATCTGATTAATATTTAGAACACATCCAATTGATATAGAACATTTTGTTTTATAAACAGATATAGAACATTCAATAGCTGAGTGAATATACAATATTCAAACATTTATTTTTTAACCAGCGGTGGATATTTGTAATATGTTCATTTTATCATCTAGAACAATAAAATGGGGTAAATACCATCTCCCCCCCCCCACCCCCGGATAAAATTAAAACAGATTCACATGTACCTGTTATGTAATCTGATGCCTTGGTGTGAATGAGATTCCATTTTTGGTTGGTCATTAACTACTTACCTTACATATTCATGTCCCCAAGATCCTATTTCTTCTTTTGAACCCAACAATCTGTATTTTAAACTGTCTCTACCATCACTCATTGTCATACCTAATACAGAGATAATATCAGCACAGAATTTCTGAAAAGGGAACCACAAAATAAATATATACAAATACCATACATATCAATATGTTACTTAAATTTCTTAAAAGAAAAATCTGAAACATTTCTTTTAGCAAAGTAACTATTGTGTGAATGAAGAACCTGACTTGAAAAGTCCAGAGTTTGAATCTAGGCATTGGTCGAGAAGTACCATTAGAAATGATCAAACCTGGTTATCACATGTTGTGCCGAGTCAAGAATTCAAAGCAGAGCAAGTAAAATTGAAATTGTCGCATGGGTTGTAATCATAGATAGAAATGAAAATTACCATATGTTAGTCTCAAAAGGGCAGAAGTATTGTATTGATATGCATGCTTTTCATGCTGAAGGTCTTGTGTTTAAATCACAACACAATGTCTAAATCCACCTCGATTTTCTGTTTACTAGGCAGTGGTTCTTCAATGTCTATTCAAACATAACCTATCTAACTGCCTTGGAGTCATGGTGGATAGGCGGGTAAGACATTGGCTCGCTAACCTGGAGGTCGGGTATTTTATCCCTGCATTGGCCAGGAAAGTTCATCAAGATTTTCCGGCATGGTTCCCCCTTGCCAGTGGTGCAGGACAGGGGGCCTGGCAAGGGCCAACACATAGTCATTCAAATTGAACGAAAAACTGAGTTCCCGTGTACACATTGGCGTGCACGCAAAAGATACCTTGGGATTTGGAATTTGATATAAGAGGAGGCCATAGTGCCGCTATCCAGGCAAAATTTCCCTCATAGCACACTGTACGGCGTATGCCCGTCTTCATTAGTCCAGCAGGAGCAGAAGAGTAAGATGTTAAACTCCATTTTATTTCTTTCTAACTGCCTTATTCATAACATTTACATGTATGAATGAATGATTCAATCAATCAATCACTGATAATTGTCAAGAATGTTAATTTGTAATAAAATAGTAAACAATACCTTGGTATCCCCATCCTTGATCTTTTCATGCACCTGTTTCAGAGTGTCATAATGGGGTCGTAAATATTTGAGAGGTTTTGGAACTGATGTCATCGATGTTGTGGATGCTCTAATAAGAGTTCTCAGATTTTCCAGTGCAGCTTTATACAACTTTTGATCCGATTCCTATAGTTGTTTGTAATAAAGAAAAAGAAAGGTCGTTATTTTCAATTCAAAGTCAAATTTTAGCATCTACATTTGTTTGCATGGATAATTAGAATAGAATCTATGTATATCAACAGACTATGAAGACTATCATGAGGAACACAGCTATAAAGTTTTTACAAATTATAATTGTCATTCATATAGATTTACAAAATTTTGTGGTAGCTCCATGGCCCTATCTGGGTTGTTTTGACAAGGCTATGGAACAATACAAAAAACTGTACAAAGTTGTGCCACAATTTTTGGAGCAGTGTATGCCCAATGGTGGTTGCCTCATTTTATACCACTGTAATCTTAACATACCAGCTTTCAGTGGAATACAAATAATTACATTAGCAACTACATGTACCTGTTATGTGTTAGTGTAACTATAGGTCAGTTAACATTTACTTACATGTGTGCATACTACATGTATATAATATACATTGTACATGCCAAAAACTATTTTATGTTCTTAGTTTTATAAATATGAAATTCCTAGAAAATTTGCGTAGAGCATAGAGGCCTACTTTCATTATAGAACAAACGTGACCACAGAATACAACACAGTAAATTTTTCATAATAACAATATACATGACATGTTACCAGTACTATTATAGGTACATGTAGGCCTAACATTACTGGTATAATATGTAATATATCGAACGGCTATAAAACTGAATTATTGCAGACCAACCTGTGGAACAATACTTACAGTCAATCTTTCAACACACAAATTCAACTCATCATGTAATAGCTGATCTTCCTCAGTCTGAAAAACAAAAGAACACATAAAAGTATTTTCTTTGTCTACTAAGATGGCTGATGTGCATCAGAGAATAAAACAAAAAGTCTCCATTTGTTGTCAGTTTTTCTCAACCTTTAAACTTTAAAGGTTCTGAGGGTCTTGATAATCTTCATATTCCTAGTGTCAGATTTGATCCCCCTGGCATACCTCATCAAGAAGCTGACTCCTGTACTCGTTTTAAAAAATATTAAATGAGAAATAAAAACCTAAAATTTCATGGGACATTATATAGGTAGGTGCGATTTCTAGGGTTGTCACAGTTAACCGGTTTAGTCGTAGTTGATTTGGTTTCTAGGTTAAACCAAATCACATTTTGAAAAACCATTTCATCCAATCTATATTTATACAATTACACATTAATTACATGTATGTTTGATTTTTACTGTCTGCTAAACACACTGTTGAATAAAGTACTTTAAATTTAAAATAATCATATATATGTGCACTTTCTATTCTTTCAACAAAGTGACAAACTAGGTCATTTTGGGACTAACACATGGTTCAATTTTATTTCAATAATTCGCTTGCGCGTAGGGGTCTTTAGCAGTGGAAGGAAACCGGAGGACCTAGAGAAAACCCACGAGGTTGGACAGGCGACCCTACTCCTTCTCATGTAGCCTACAACCGGGGAATCGAAACCACACCAGTTGACTCAATGACAGACTGTATGATACAGCAAACATGTGCTAACCATTCGGCCATCCAAACCCTATTTCCCTAAAGAACTTTCCATTTATTACATAAGAGTTACCTAACAGTATAATAAATAGAGTACTGACTACTGTTGTAAAATGTCAGCGAATGTACCAGACAACGAATAAACGTGATCAACAACCTGACTTCACCAGTCAGCAGGCTCTTCTATTTAGCTCACTCAGCATATGTTGCCGCCTTTTTAAAATCTGTTGGGTTTTTTTTTTAAATTCTTATTTGTATCGGTACCGTCTTGTTGTTTTTTGTCAAGATGATTACCGATATCTGTGTTAAAGTATTATGTACTGATCGATCGTGATGGAATTAATACGGAAAGTGTTGGGACTACATGTAATGATGTAATCTCTATTGTCAGTATTGGATTTTTAATAATTAGCAGTTATTATAAGCAGTAGGGATAAGTAAGAACACAGGAATGTCTTACTAACTGAATTATATATTTATCACATAAACAAAACTATTAACCCGGTGTGATAGTTTGAGTTGACTCCTGGTGTGTGTTTTCTCCTGGGCACTTGCGCATGTCCGAAACTGATGTTTGCCTTAACAACGAAACTATATCTACTTCCTGCAGTGTGAGTTGGTTCCTGACCACTGGTCAGTACAGGAAAAAATATATCATGTACTTGATTAGAGTTTTGTCATTAATAAAATACTTGTTGACGTGATTAGCTGTTGTTTTAGCGATCAGTAGTTACACGATCAACGGATCTAAGTTGATTGGCTTGAAATTGATACTTCGTTCGTTATTTGTTGCCGTTGTTTTTTTTAGTGATTAGTCGTTCTACACACGTACGATCAGTGGAAACCATACAAATTGATGATTGGCTTGAAATTATCAATTAATTCACCTCCAAGGGAAGATTAAGGCCTTTGATATTTCGTGGCTTCATTTAACACAAATATAAAAGTATGGAATTTCTTATTCCGATTTCTTTAACATAAATATAGATTTATTACACCATCCCATACGTACATTCAAACATGCATGTAGACAGCCCAACTACAAGAGAGAAAGTTCGCATTATGGACGGGTATATAAACTAAATAATAATAATAAAGATCGTCAATTTGCATCCTCTCTTAGTGGTAATATTGTAAATATATAATAGTCTATAATATATTGATTTGACTGTAAGAACATCTTAGGGGAAATCCTATCACGAGGAGTCAATGCACACCGCGTCTGTAACGGTGTGAGGTGACTCCTACAACTGCGCATGCGCCAAACGGTAATCACACACCAGGGACCATCTGAAACTGCCACACCGGTCTTTTTTCTAGCGTCAAATGTTATGTAAATAATTATCTAAACAATTATTCACATGACAAGCCAAAAATCAACTCTCTAGTCTAGGACATTGGATGGCTGAGATATTAGATCTAAATGGATTAGGAAGGCCAGTATTACATGTATATGAGTATACTATATTACGGTAGGCTATCTTAATCTTATCAAAACGAAAACGTCATCACATTCACAACTTGAACTAATTTAATCAGCATAATGTAATTTGAAAGTTTCAAAATCTGTGTTTGAACTTTAGCTTATATAAAATTATTAATAAAAAAATGAATGAAATGACAATGCAAAATAGAAGGGAAATTGCCAAATTGGAGCAATGTATCACATCAAACACAAGATTGTCTGCTCTGATTAAGGTGCAGATATCTATTTTTCATTAGAACATTATTATACCAATTCTTGTTCTTTGTTTTCTTCCCCATTCTTTTTCTTCTCGTCTTCTTTTTTCTCTGTTTTTGGATTCTCGGTTTTCGTTTTTGCTTTATCGGCCATGTTTGCTGATGTTGGTGTGCTTGATTCCTCCAAATGCACGGGGGGATAACTCATTTCAAGAAAACATGAATTGGCAAATCAAGTAAAACTGCATATTAATTCCTGAATTATCAATATAAAAGAAAATACTATGTATATGTTTTTGTTTTAATTATTGTTTTAAAAAATTAGAAGATAAAGCGCAAGAATGGCGTGGTCTGGGTCATTTTTATTTTGGGTCACAAATATCAAGGTGTCAAGGTGGCTGAGATGTAAAATAAGATCAGGGCACGTGATTGTTGGCGAGATTGTAGGCTAGGGTTAGGGTAAACATTGGGGCTAGGTCCAGGGTGGGGGTTAGGGTTAGGATTGGGATTAGCATCTCGTGATCAATGACGAAAAATTGATCTGCCCTTATCATTTAGCACTCGACAAACATTAGATGGCCTGGATGATCTTTCTATCGATTCACCTGTACCGGAAGTTTATAAATAGGCTAATGGCTAAAAAAAAATGTGAACGTGTATCATTTATTTATAACCTAAAATCAATCTTCATGGCGTTATCATCAGAATTAAAGGAATTAAACATGGCGCATCTTTACTGTAATGTGTGTTTGCGTAGTTTTTCCCAGAAAGAATAAATCCCAGATATTTATAAATCGTTCATAATTTGACTATTTACTCTCGTTTCTAAGGACGCAAGAAGTTCCGTAATTATTTTACTTTTTTTAGGCGTGATAACGTCAGTAGGGCCTATACAATATATCAATACTGCATTCCATTTAGTTCAACTGAGGGGAGAAAAAGAAAAGTAAGTATTAACTTTAAAGGACCTAATCCCGTTTGGAATTTAGTTCCGGACACAAAAATGATAAAATAAAATACTCTCCAGGCAGTCTCAGGATGGATATATCAAAATCTAAAGTTATTTTAGTTATTGTAGATCTAGATCTAATTAAAATAACAATCTTAACAAGGCCTATTTTTGTTTGACATTTTCCTACTGTGTTCAATATGCCTCTATTCTATTGAATACTAAAACGTTTTTTTAATTGACTTAGAACTAGTTTTGGTCTACCGGTTTTTGTTATACATTTCACCTATGTGGTTACTTGTTGTATAATTTTAAATTTTACTACAATGTGAATATTGTAACATATAGCAGATCATGACTAATGCTGGCATTACACAATGGTTTCTCTGGGTTTTATTCCTGATTGTTTTCAAATTTATGTGAAGTCTGTGTCACTACAGGCCCCTGTGTACAGTGCAGTGGACGCTTACAGCTAGCCCACAGATCCATTCTTTTTATTTGAATTGTGCGTTTGTGAGTTCTGCTTTATGTCTTGTCCGTATATTTGTTTTTGTGTAAATTATGTGTGGTGCAGTCCCCCTGCACTTACTATTTGAATATTTTACATATAGGGCCTACATGTAGCTCTTATTTAATGTATTTAGTATGCAAGAATAGCTTACATTATTTGGAAAAAATAAAAGAGATTTACGCTGATCATATTGATTGAACAGCAGCATTCTTAGTACTTACTGGATGGGTACTTGTAACATAATAAACATGAACTTTAATTATAGAACCACAGATGCTGACTTTCACCTCCTTCATATCTAGTTGAAAGTTGAATGACCATTTGGCTCTTGAATGTAACATTGATAATACTGATATCCTTTTAAAAAAAAAAGCAGTATTTAAAACTATTTTGTTCCTCGATGTTGGGTAGGCATCTACATGTACATTTACCCTATCTTTAGTACCACAGATACAGTCAGTGATGGATTGAAAGTCCAATGATTACCTGGTAGATTATTAAATAGAAAGTGTCTCTTCCATATCCAAAGGCAAATTTACTGAAATTTTACCCTCAAATAAAACAAAAGCAGTATTATAGGAACTCATAATTTTGACTTGGACTTAAAATAACAATTACAGCTCATTTGATCAGTGTTTGGCCATGGGAAATATTTAATAATATTCATACAACGAAAACATCCAATATTAAAAGATACCCAACATATAATAGAGAATATAGTGATTTGGACAATTTGTAGAAATCTAAAAAAAATCCATAGGTTTTCTTTTGGTACTTATGACTTTCATCTCATGTTTTAAAGGAGCCTGCACACAAGCAGTTTACTTAAATATAAAATACAACACCATGTTTGCCTCCAATTGACATGGTTAGTAGTGAGTAGAGCAGATATTAAATCTCATTTATCTCTCTCTCATTTGGAGTAAAAAAAAGCATTTGATGTGACCATTATTATATATTCTCATAAAGGGTTATGTAACTCTGGCCGAGATAGCCATACAAATTGTTGATAATTTAAAGATATTAATTCGAGATTGTAAGCGATAGTGGTATAGGTTTGATGGGCTAAACTCATGGCTGTAAAAACATAGTTTATAATTATATTGATATCAATATAGCATAATCTAGTATATCTGTACAAAATTAGATACAACATAGAATTAGTTTTATTTTATTGTTGCCTGCTGTGCTGTACCATTATGTTATATTTATCAGTAGACTATGGTTGTTATTAAATGTAACCTTGAAGTTTTAAAATCAATATGCTAGGCTGGAGGACTGTTGATTGAAGACTAGATATAGAAGATATTAATAATTAAAGCTTGACTACAATAAATAATTAATGTAATTAGTTGTCAGCTTATACTTAAATCATTCAATCAATCAGCTGACATGTGATTTGTGTGTACATTACCATTATGTGGGGTTATGTGTCATTAGAGGGGATATTTGTTGCTTTGTCTTAGATTTATATTATGTTGGGACTTGCTCTGAAGTTATAGTTGGTTTCAGAAGTGGTTGTGATCAGAAGGATTTTAAGGATAACAAATTTTAGCTGTTGAAAGTTTACTTTTAAAATTTAGAATGCCTATACCGTATGTATTATTATTGTTCTTGTTTGATATATTTTTTAATTTTATTCTATTTGTTTTCTTCCACAATTTTTTCACAGTAATGTTATAGCAAAAACACTTGTGTTGCTAGTTTAACAGTGATGTAAATATGTGGTATACTGGGTGATTGTTCATATATTTGAGGACGTCTAGTTTCCATCGACATGCCTGCTGCACTAGAAAGATATAATGTGAACCGAAAACAAAATGTATTCAGCTTTGTGTCTAGGTGTTGGCTTTTGAAACATAGAAATTATGTATTTAAAGGAGCTAAATCTCTAACTCAATATTTTCCATAATATTTGAAATTAAAGACATGAATTAAATTTCAATATTTGTCCATTTCAATCAATATTGATGTTGTTATCTTGCTGTGAAAATATGGGATCCTAATATCCAATATTTAAGAAACAATGAACATTTTATATTCAGTACATGAGTCGTGTATTCTATGGCTTCGGGTGCCATTTGTAATAAAGAAAGAAAAACATATCCTACAAGACAATGCGGAAGTAATTAGTAATGACTGATTCACAAACACCAAAATAATAATAAAACAAACGTGTAGATTGGACTAAGCAGGCGTTAACGATTCTTGGTCAATTTGGATTGTTCACTTACTGCACTGAACATTATTGATTAGAAATAACAATAACATTTTGAAAGATTGAATATAAATCAATTAATATATATTATTCATATTACATTAATATGTGCTTTTAGACTGATTTTCGTTCCAAAGAATAGAGCTATACGCATTTAAGTATAGATAAAAAAAATATAACATATTGCCACAAACATTAATATTATTCATATTACATTAATATGTGCTTTTAGACTGATTTTCATTCAAAAGAATATAGCTATACGCCCTGTAACTATAGATAGAAAAAATATAAAATATTACCACAAACCTGCTGCTGTTTTATGGAACGATCTACCCCTAACACTAAAACAAATAGAAGATACGAACACCTTTAAATCCAGATTGAAGACTATTCTTTTCCAGAGAGCTTACGACTAAGCGCATTTGAGCAGGCCCCCTGGATAAATCGCGCTATATAAATGACTAATTCAATTTAATTAATAATTAAAGAAATCAACAGTTATTAAGAACATTGTGGGCTGGCACTAGGAATTTTATCAGTTACTTGTATCAAAGCTCTGTCTGTTAGTTTCTCCGTTTCTTTGGCCACTTTAAAGAGCAATTAAATGAATAGCTGTTGGGGTGTGTGTGTGTGTGTGGAGAGGGGGGGGGGGAAATTGATCTAACATGTGGACATTAATTCCTAAGGTGTACCATTGAGTCAAGGGGTGTGGTTTAGATTCCCATCTTCAATTCCAAAGGGGTAAGGTTGACTGCCCAATCTTGTATATTTTCTCCAGGTCCTCTGGTTTCTCCCACTGCTAAAGCCCCCTATTTGCAGGCAAATTTTTGAAATAGAATTGAACCATACGTTAGTCCCGAAATGACCTAGTTTGTGTCAAGTTGAAGTTAAATTCCATTTCTCTCTCTCACGTTCTTGAAGAAAAGTTGTGTGAGATAAACGCCTAACCAGGAGTTCAGTGATTGATAAGAATGCAATGTAATGCTATGGTCTTTGCATTATGGGGGGTGTTTATTCCATATGTGGGAAGGAAATTAAAGCCAAGGTCAATCTATGACATAAACAAATTAGGGGGTTATAAAAGAGGGTGTTGAGCGAAATTCATCAGAGCTCCCCCAGACTTTCCGAGCAGCCAATATCTATATTTTATTGAGAACGAGCAACATCGAAGCCCAGCAGTTTTAATAAAGTTGTAGAAACGAACTAACCTGTCGTTATATTTACAATCACGAAAGAAACACAACAGAGAAGTTCAGTATTACTACAGCAAATACATAAGTTTTATTTATCTTAACCAATAACATTGGTACCTCAGTGATGACTGGAAAATTTAATTTTCGATAATTTGATGTTACTTCCTTTTTTTTTTGCAGAATGACAGCAGAATGTGTAAGGGTCATCGTCAGGTGCCGTCCTATGAACGAAAGAGAGAAAAATCTGAACTGTAAAGATGTGTTGATGATGGACAGTAGTAGAGGTCTTTGTACCATTAAAAATCCTGGTGATCCTAAAGCCCCGCCTAAACATTTCACATTTGATGGATCCTACTTTACAGATTCTACCACAGAACAAATATATAATGATATAGCATACCCTTTAGTAGAGGTAAATAGATTGTACTTCTGCTTTCTCTTTGACAATACATGTAGTTGAATGTACCATAACCAAAGAATGAAATGGAGTTTAAAGTAGCTAAGTCTGTAAATCAGTATCATCCAAAGTCTTTGACATTGGAAACATAAATTATTTGTCAATTTAAATCAACATTGATGTTGTGATCTTACAGGGAAAAGATGGGCTTCTGATATCCGATATTAAAGACAAAATAAACATTTTACCATTGGTACACAAATCGTGTACCATAATGCGTTTCAGCGCCATCTGTAACAAGGGACTTGAAGAACGAGGCTAGACTTATTCCACAAGTCATGTCAAACGGTGATGCCATATTCTTATGTGGAGAGCATGCACAATAAATACTATCGGTGTAGACTGAAATAACCAGACGCTAGACATTGTCATTTGATTGAGACTTATGTCGTATTTCGCCGAATATACCTGATTAGAAATCACAGTAAAAACAGAAAGGATTGAATGTAAATCAGTTTATATACATTCATAGTACTATTATAAGCATTGCGACCAATTTGTATCAATTTCTAGGTCAAAAGTATTAGCGACTTAGCTCCTTTCAGTTAAGACAGGCATGCAGTGTGCAGTGTACGTTGATTATGTACCATACAATCTATTTAAAATCTGATGTTATTTTCGATCCATTTATCTGATTGGTCATGCAGTTAAGAAGAGGAGAGAATGTTCACAATCTGCATAATAGTACTAGATACCAAGAAATAAAACTGAACAAAATGGTATAATTTCGAATTAAACAAGATAATTGAATTTTGACTTTCTCTGTTTAAATGTTTTTGTTGACTAGATTTAGTAATGCTTATGTGTTTTTACTTAAAGGGCTAATCCCGATAATTTTTTGGAGAATAAAACTGTTTAATTTTGTTTTAAAATGCCTTAAAATCCTCTACCTAAGGGCCGAGCAACTAACTCAATATTTGTGATAAGTTTTCAAATAACTGAAACCCGTCAGTCTTCATCTGGAAATGGAGACCGGTATCCCAAGCTGTATTATGCGGTGTCTAGATAAAACCAGACATTTTTTGTATAAAAATAATGTGTAGGTGAAATTTATCTTTCATTATCAATGATAGCATTTGGGTCAATCACTGTATAGACCTCTCAATGAACGGGAATCGATTATCAGGTCTCCCAACGAAAAAATTGACCCGAAATCTTAAAAGGGTTACGTGCCCGGATAAGCAGTTTTGACGGTCACGTCCAAACGACTCAATATTTTGAGCTGAAATTTTGAGATACGGTCAGTACACTATTTCTCTATATTTTGGCGTTTAAATTTCAAACAAACTCAGCCTTTTATTTTTGAGACTCTATTCAAATAAGGGATAGCCCCTTTAAAAAGAAGATAACTTCTGAATTAAATTTGTACCATATTACAAGTTCTATAAAACTGCTTGTTTTCTGTATAGGGTGTAACAGAAGGGTACAATGGAACTATATTTGCATATGGACAAACAGGATGTGGTAAATCATTCTCTATGCAGGGTATTACAGATCCCCCTACACAGAGAGGAATTATACCAAGGTAACCATTATATAGATTATATATATTTGAAGAATATACGATACAAGTTATTGTCCGAATTACTCCTTTTCAGTGTGGCAGAACAGAGAACCTGGCAAGGACAGTGTCTAGTCGATCGGTTGATGGTACAAAAAAAACCCCCCAAAACAAGGTCCTGTGTACACATTGGCATGCACGTAAAAGAACCCCCTTCACAGTTGGAATAGGCCATATTTCCCTCATAGCACACAGTATGGCATATGCCCGTCTTCATTAGTCCAGTCGGTGCAGAAAAATAAGATGTTAAACCCAATTTCATTTCATTTGCCAGAATGAGCAAAAATTGTTATTTCTTTTAACTTTTTGAATATATGAGAAGTCGTATCAATTTTTCTAGATGGAGTAAATAAATGCTGAAGCTATTGAGTAGAATGATAGATTCTTCAGTTCAATATACTAGCACACTAGAAGAATCACCTGACAAGTGGTTTAAAAACAAAATATATATCACACTTTAAATTTCATTTGTGGAAGAAGTCAGAAATATTTGTAGCTTCCTCCGTTCAGTATTCAAATGTGATGTTTTGTTTACTTTTAATTACCCAAACCTGCAGCGATGTAAAAATTACATGTAATCTTTAAAATTATTTTTTAGAGCATTTGACCATGTTTTTGAGACGGTATCTGTTACGGATGGTACCAAGTTTCTTATACATGCTGCTTATCTTGAGATTTATAATGAAGAAATTAGAGATTTACTCGGAAAAGATGCAAAAGCTAAACTAGATCTACACGAACATCCAGAGAAAGGTGTTTATGTAAATGGTAAGCTGTCAGAATCATATATTAAAGATGGGTGATTTAATAGTATATATGGACTAAAAACATATTCAAACTAATTAATTTGTCATAATTATGCTTCAAATCCTTCTCAAACATTGTAATTGCGAAGGAATGCCCTGCTATTAAAATTCGATCAAACCAGGTCATGTTTACATCACGTCTTGGAAATCAGAGGAGAATTCATTGTATACATAAGACGATGTTGTCTTTAATCGCTTACTATTTATTACAAATATCAAATCCTAATTAAATTCTCGGATTATCCACTACCCGGGTTTTTTTTCCGTCATTTTTATCTCAGAAAGTGTTGTACGTCTAACTCTTCATAAAGTTTATCAACTTTTACATCAAGCGCTCAATATTCGCGTGTGACCTTTGACATCACGCATGTAGAAATTCTTAATCGTCGGGCTGTTGATTAGGGGGAACCCTTACATTTTTGTCCTGTATAAGCTCCATGAGTGTTTTTCGGGGAATCCAGTATTTTTCTAGTAAGATTGGATATCTCTACTTTCCATATATACCAAAATTGCCATACTTTTATTGGAAATAACCACCCGATAAATACTTTTCTGGGAACCCATCTTTAACTTATTTAAAAAGTGAATTTATTATGCTGTAGTATACAATCTTATTGAGTTATGGTCGTGTATTTGTGGATATATGTTTTATTAGTTACTTAATTTAGTAGTTGGGGGGGGGGGGGGGTGACCAAATTGTTTAAAGTATGCACATTAGATCATCAGGTCTGTCATTGAGTTTAAATGCTGTGGTTTAGATTCCCCACTTGTACGTGACAAGGAGTAGGGTCACCTGTTCATCCTCGTGGGTCCTCTGGTTTCCTCTCATTGCTAAAGATCCCTACATGCAAGAAAATAATTGAGATCAAATTGAAATGTTAGTCCTGAAATGACCTAGTATGTGTCGAGTGGACATCAAACCCTATTTCTCTCTCTGTCTCTCTCCTCCCAACAACTTAAGTGTTTGACAATTGTAGAAGAGATTGTTAACACCATTGCTCTGACAGGATGAACCTGACTATAGATGTGAAATATGTGAACTTACAAATATTATATTTGAAAAATGATATTGAAATATGACTATATTGTGATATATTAATTATTGGACAAATAACCTGTTATTTTGTATGATGGCAGTATTAGTGAAAAAAATAATATGTTAGCATATAATTTTAGTATCATTTTGCAAGGAAAAAGTATGTTGATCTCCTCAGGGTTTTCAATATGGTTAAAAAAATATTCAATATTTATTGTATGGACAGTTGAACAGTATTTTTATAGATTTAGTATCAAATTAATACCTGAAATTAATACCACAATATATAGTGATATATTCTGTTCCAAAATGACAATAACCAGCAAAATTTAATAACCATAGCTACCGTAATGTAAATGGGCTATTAAGGCAAATAAAAAGTAAACTGTTAAATTTAATTAATACTGAGTAACTGCACCTCAAATGACCAAAACTGCTAATCAAAAGTTGATTTGATTAGCAAAAATTTATTAAAACTGTTTCGCACTGTTAACCAATTGTTGAGAGTTATTTTGTTCACTGGCACTGATCCTGACCAGGTTTGCTAAAGCATTCATATTAAAATGGTATATTCAGTATTAATTATATGATGACTTGAATTGCATTGAATTCAAATTGGATGTTTGCCAGATATGATCATGAAGTATCATATAATTACATATTATCTTTAACCTATAATCATCTTACAAAACTTTGTATTGGTATTGTAATTTTTAAAGAACCTTTAGAACATGGGAAAATTGAATCTATACATATTATTTTATACGCCTAAATTTTCATGTGGACATATTATGTCGTCGCCCCTGTCTGTCCGGACATCCGGCTGTCCAGAATTTGTTTGTGGACACTCTACAGGTCACAATTTTTATCCAATTTTGACGAAAATTGAAATATAGGTCTATTTCCCAAAGATCTCGTTACCTTCTGATATTGGCATGTATCGGACCATAACTTCATGGATTATGGCCCCTGATTGTACAAAAATTCACGTTTTTAACTTGTGGACACGTTAAAGGTCACAATTTTCACCCGATTTTGATGAAACTTGAAATACATGTTCATTACCCAAAGATCTTGGCTCCATTCGATATTCGTGCATATCGGATTGTAATTTCCTGAATTATTGCGCATGAATTTAAAAAAATCACGTTTTTAGCTTGTGATCCATTTATAGGTCACAATTTTTATCCAATTTAAAAAAAATGTGTGAATATATCACCGTTACACACTAAGAACTTGGTTCCTTTTGATAATCACGCATATCCGAACGTAACTCTCTGGATTATGGCCCCTGATTGTTCGAAAAAATCGCATTTTTAGCTTGCAGATTCTCTAGAGGTCACAGTTTTTTTTCCAATTTTAAAAACCTTTTAAATATATCCCATTCCACAATAATGACGGTTGAATTCTAATTTGTGGAAAATTGAAATGAAACTGCCCAGCAAAATGGCCGCTCTTTGTACGCATATTGTGTAAAAGTATGTAATACGAAGGTTGTGGACTCTCTAGAGGTCACAATTTTTATCTGATTTTAATGAAACTTAAAACTTTTGATATTTGGGCATTTCAGACCATAACTTTGTTAGACTTTGTAGATTATTGCCCCTGATTGTACAAAAGATCGCGTTTGTTTTTAGCTTGTTTTCTATCCATAACTTGCAAAATGTGGACGTATCTTGCCTGGCAGCCGCTGGTTTTCAAAATGAATAAAATTTATCTTTGGATCCGTGGAAATATATAGTACCTTAAACCTGAGGAGAAATATGATCTATATGAGTGGTTGCAGGAAAGGGGAATCAATCTAGTTTGTTTTCTTATCATGTCAGTGGGGGGCCATGGAAACCAGTTGCTCCAAAGGCCTAAAGATACCAAGTCCACAAATTACAAATTCTCTGTATCAGAACGTATGGTCTTTCGAAATAAAGTAACATTTCATTACTGGTTCTAATATAGAAAATTTGTACATACGTGTTCTATGTTTGTATATTATTGTTATCCCTCCCTACTGTTAAGGTTATCATCTGACTGTCTTGATAATTATGCACATAGTTCTAGACTTTTAATTTTCAATTATTTCACATAACTCAAACAGCAAAAGTTACCATCTGATTACCAATACATTTGTTGTTCATGACAATACTAGAAAGAAGCCTATCAAATTTTATTATTTGGAGCCTTTTATAAGGTTTTACTTTCTTCTAAATGTTTTGGACCGTGAATTTTGAATGCATTGACAATTTGACAGGTAAATATTATGAAAGAGATACTGAAATAAAGTTTTCATGTGGTTGTAAGTTCTCATCGGAATTGTTTAAAACTTGGTGAGACTGTTTATTAAGGAATTAGATAGAACATATTAAATTTTACATTTTGAACGCTTTTTGCAGAATTATAAGAGATTTATAAAACTTCCTGTGTTTGAATTGTTGACCATGATTTTAGATTTACCATTTGCTGTTGGTTAACGTATAGGCGACTGAACAAACCCCCGCCTGTATTTATATTGTAATGTAAAATCAGATTGACAAATTCTTCTCTCTTATAAAACTTTAACATGTATTAATTGTCATTTTCAGGTCTGTCTATGCATCCTGTACATAATGTAAGTGAATGTCAGAAAGTTATGGATAAAGGCTGGAGAAACAGAGCAACAGGTGCTACATTGATGAATGCGGACTCGTCTCGTAGTCATTCTATATTTACCATCTATCTGGAGATGGCGAATGTAGATGAATCTGGTGAAGAACATATACGAGCTGGTAAACTTAACTTGGTTGATTTGGCTGGTAGTGAAAGACAAGCTAAAACAGGTAATACATTTGTCTGTAATATAAAGATACCTCTGATTGCCATAGATTTCGACAAAAGTTTGAATCAGTAGTCACGTAAATATGTGAGTCAATATGTAAACCATATTAACAGTAGGTTTTAGTTGCGCTGTCAGGGTAAAATTTTGTTCATGTTCATTGCACAATGCATGACATATGTCCGTCTTCATTAGCCCTGTAGGTGCAGAAAAGTAGGATGTCAAACCCAATTTAATTACATTTCATTTTCTATGTGACCTGATTATGGAAAGAATCTACATTTACATTCTTGGTTTATTGTCCCATCCTAACAACTAGAGTTTGTTACATATACTTGACAGGCCCTCCGTAGTCAGTACTGCACCACTGACAGGGGGGAAACCAGGCCTGAAAATCCTAATGAAATTTCTTGGATAGACCATTGATTACAAATTTACTTGCTTCACCTAAAGTCATTGATGGATACTCATCTTTCTTCTGAATAATCAGTCATTGATGGATACTCATCTTTCTACTGAATGGGGGGGGTTGGATGGCCGAATTGTTAGCATGCGCTCGCTGTATTATACGGTCTGTCCTCCGGTTTCCTCCCACTGCTAAAGACCCCTACATGCAAGCAAATTATTTAAATAAAATTGAACCATGAGTTAGTCCCGAAATGACCTAGTGTGTCGAGTGGACGTTAAACCCCATTTCTCTCTCTCTCTCTTTTCTTCTCAATGATCTTTTAAAATCCTCAAACACATACCTGTTTGTATGTTTTTGGACTTTAAATATGGTTTGATTTGAATTTTTCAGGTGCAACTGGAGATAGATTAAAGGAAGCAACCAAAATTAACTTGTCTCTGTCAGCTCTGGGTAATGTTATCTCAGCTTTAGTTGATGGTAAATCTAAACATATACCATACAGAGACTCAAAACTAACACGATTGCTACAAGATTCCCTTGGAGGAAATACCAAAACCATGATGGTGGCCTGTCTATCACCAGCTGACAATAACTATGATGAAACCCTGAGTACGCTACGTTACGCCAACCGTGCCAAAAACATCAAAAATAAACCCAAGATCAATGAAGATCCTAAAGATGCTTTATTGCGGCAGTACCAAGAAGAGATCGAGAAACTTAAAGCCATGTTGATGGGCAAGTTACCATTATCACCAGATGGACTAACAGGTACAGGTCATTTTATACCTCATCTATACCCTCATCTTTCTGTCTCCTCAAGGGATTGGTGGGTGACCGAATGGTTTAATGTGCCCTTTAGATCATAATGTCTGTCACTGAATCGATTCCCCGATTGTACATAACAAGTAGTAGGGGGTGCTTATACAAAACTCTACGTGCAAGGGAATTATTGAAATAAAATTGAATCATAGTTTGTCCTGAAAAAACCTAGTTTATGTCCAGTGGAAGTTAAACTCTCTCTCTCTCTCTCTCTCTCTCTCTCTTTCTCTCTCTCTCTCTCTCTCTCTCTCTCTCTCTTATTTCCATATTTCACAAAATTCCCTCTGCTTTTACCTACGTCTTGAACCCGTGTAGGGTATAATATTTGATTATTTTGGTAATAGGTTTTGTAATTTTAAGAATAAATTTGCATGATGAATAATATTTTGTTGAATATTTTTATTTATCAGGTATAGATGTTAATAATGTGAAACAAGGACAAACTGCAATAGAGCATTCTGGTATAACACGTGAAGAATTAGAAGAAGAAAAAGAAAGACTTAGACAGGTGATCTTTGGAGTTTCTATTCCTTAGTCTTGAATGATATTAAAAAAACTGGACATTTTTTTTTTATATATGAGTGAGACCCAAATAATTACAGCGACAATGGTTTTATCTGGATAATGCTTATTTTGACAAAATTTTTCATAGTTCTATACATGTATATTGTAAACTAGTAAAAGTGTATGGTGTGACCGTTTGCAAAAATTTGGATGATGCATTATATCCAAGTCGAAATTGACTTTCTGCTTGAATAGAGTTACATCCCTTGGGCCTGTTTTGCAAAATGAAATGAAATGAAATGTGGTTTAAAGTCCTACTTTTCTGCACCAACTGGGCTAATGAAGACAGACATACATCATGCATGGGGGAAATTTGCTCGGACATCAGTATTTTCGCCTACTCTTTAGTGGATACCAACAAAGGTTTCTTTTACGTGCACAACCACATATACAGAGAAACTTTCTCGGCCAACACCGGGTTCGAACCACCCCCACCTCCCCCTCCTCCTGGGTCAGCATTCTTGGATCCAGCTATATTAGACCGAAATGTTATTTTATGTATCTGACAAATGTAATCTCTTGTACTTGATGTTAAATTACATTATTTTTCATATTACTATAAATTCTGTGTAGTTAAATGGTCCAGTGCAATAGACCATTAAACATCTTAAAATACAGACACTATTACACTATGCAGCACATGCATTTCAATGAAATACATCACACGGGACAATATTTCAACTAGTATAAATAATGTATGCTTGGCACATTGCCCGTACCATTATGTGAAATAATGGTACGACAACATCAAAGGATGACGTCACATCTGTATTTTAAATAGGAGTATGAAACAGAAATGTCGGAAATGAAACAGATGTATGAAGCGGAGAAGACTAACAAAGGAAGATTGGAAGAAGACATGCAGAAACTACGTCACTTTTATGATAATAAATTGCAAGATGTAAATGGACAGTTAGACCACTTACCATCAACTGCTGAAGGTAATTTAAAAGTTTGAGATTTAGTTGAAGCCTACCTCTTTAATCCCTTCTAACTGATATATGTATCTATCACATCTGTCTTTAATATAATGCAAGCAATCAATTCTTAAACTCATATCTCTAGAACATCAACCTAAGACTTTTCAGTATATTTTCTGCCTGTGCTGGTGAATATGTTAGTAGAGCTAGCTAGCACAGTGACATCACTGGAACTGTTCTGGAACCTTGTTTTAACTTTTAATTGAGCACACCCAGTTATTTAGATATAATTTGCTTAATATTCTTATCATTGACTCAAACTGTTACAGGTTTTTTATTAAGACATCGTGAATTATGTTCAGTATTTCTTGATTTTTTAATTGTTATTAATTTGAAAGTTTGTTATTACGATAAGATCAACTTAAAACAGACTTTCATCTTTCTGTTATTATGTAATTTCTCAGTTCTCTTTCTGAATAACTCAGATGTGTCATGATTGACTGATTGTGGTGCTAATATTATTAGTTCTGGAATGAGTTTGACAGATGCGGGGCACAGTAGTTGAGCGGTAGGATACTTGCGTCTTGGCAAGAATGTCACAGTTTGAATCCCTAGAAGAACTTTCTGTCCGTGGGGCCAGCACGGAAAATATGCCTAGTTATTTAACCATGTTCATATAAAAAAAAACCTTGGCAGTTGGAATTCAAAGAAGACTAGGCCATTTAAAATGAAAGTTACCATATGTTAGACTCAAAATGACCAAAGTATTGTATTGATGAGATATTAAACCTATTCTACACCATTCCACATTTGAAAATGTTATCACATACTGAATAAAAACATATTTATAATTTCTTTAACCTCCTTTAAAAATGTATTTTCATAACAGAGTTGTAGGTTTGAATCTTATATAAATAGTTTGATTGGGAATGTACCAGTAATCTGGTTAGTGTCTCATCAATACAACACTTTTGTCATTTTTCGAACCAAGATAATATGTTTAGTTTTTTCTATGAACTCCTGCACTTTCCAACTGCTAAGTTTCTTTGAAGTGTGCACTAATGTGTGCAGTCGTGGACCTTTGTTTTTTTGCTCCATCATGGATTCAAATCAGGGACATTCTGGTTGAGACTGAAGTTCCCGAACCACTTAACCACTGTCTCGCCTATTCTGATAAGATATTGAATTGAAAATAGGAAAACAGAGTAGCAGGTAGCATCTGAGTTATTCAACAATTTCTTTATACTGTATAGTAGCAAGTATATCTATTTCTATATCTATTTAACCGTCGGTTTAGTGCTAGGTGAAACAGACGACAGTGATACCAGTAAGTGATATTATCATATAAATTAAGTTTGATTGCATGCTTGTGAACTTGCTTTAATTGCTGACTGCAAAATTGTTTTACGCACCTTTTCCTGAACACTTTTTGCTTGTCAAAGTTTTAAAAAAATGGATCAATGTTTCATTTTTTAAGCTTAATTTCCTCCAGTTGAATACAAAGTATGCCAATATTCTGTATGCCTCTTTGTCAACACATACTGATGCTGATAGTGTTCTTGGCGGATTCTGTGCAGATGAAGGGATATTCTCAGCCTATGACTTGTCTCAATATTAGTCAAGAATCTGAATCCGAAGTGGAATTATTAAATTTGAGTAAAACTGAATCTTATCATATCATGATGCAAATATATATGTAGATCGGATTTGTCGTTGATTTGCTGTAGGGTCTTTCAATTATCTGAAGATGATCTATGGATAATTTGCTAAGGATCTGACAATCTACCATTAATCTGGAGCCACGGTGGCTAGGTGGTTAAGACGCTGGCTCGCTAGCCTGGAGGTCGGGTGTTCGATCCCTACATTGGCCGAGAAAGTTCATCTTGATTTTCCGATGTGGTTTCCCCTTGTCAGTGGTGCAGAGCGGAGGGCCTGACAAGGACAGCTGTCTAGTCCTTCAGATGAAATGAAAAACCGAGGTCCCATGTATACATTGGAATGCACGTAAAAGATCCCTTGGCAGTTGGAATTCGATAAAAGAGTAGGCGATAGTGCCGCTGCCTGGGCAAAATTTCGCTCATAGCACACTGTATGGTGTATGCCTGTCTTCATTAGCCCAGTATAGGAGCAGAACAGTAGGACGTTAAACTCCATTTCATTTCATTTCACCATTAATGACAGACTTGATGTGCCAATGGTCTGTCAATGATCTGAATTAGTTGCAGAGTATCTGTCCATGATCTAGAGAAATCTGTCCATGATCTACAGAGGGTCTGTCCATGATCTCTAAAATGATCTTCAGAGGGTATGCCATTGATGCATAGAGGATCTGTTGATAAGTCACAGAACTTGAGGCACACAGAATGTGGGCATACCAATTAAGGGATTCAACCAGCATTTTACTATGCTTTACCAAAAATATTGTATGTCGTTGCACATATCACTGGCACCAGCACTACTGTATTCTTTAAAATAACAATACGATAATGGTGTGTTTTAAACTCACATTGTTTTTCCCCTTGAACACCCACCTAATATTACTTTCCAGTACATAATTTGTTGTTTAATAATAATATTATAGTTTAAATTGAGTATGGAACAATTATTATGCTGTTTTTACTTTAACTCTATTTTTATAATGCTTACAATTTTGTGGGAAAAGGTTAATAGTATAGATGTTTTATAACCTCCTCTTATTTTGATGCAATATGATATTTTAGATGCAATATGATATATTTCATTGAAAATTGAGACTGCAATTAAACATATACTATAGTATAAGCTTCTGTTGTACAATATAGCTACATGACATTATCACTTTCACAAATATAAATAAATTAAATATCACAAACACAACTTATGGATAAAAATCACTAGCAACTTCAAATCTAATTAAAATCACTATAAATTGTTTAATTTGTACTTCTGTCCAGTTTAAAGCTGACCATTCAATTTTGATAATGAGTGTCCGTTTTACAAGTGTTTTATTTCTCAATCACTGTTAAAAAATAAACAACCCAATTGATTAATGTTGTAGGTCTATAATGATTAATTTTTCAACAGTGGTCAGGAAATTAAATACTTGTAAATTGGACACTCATTATCAAAATTAATCAGTCAGCTTTAAACTGGACATAAGTACAAATTAGTTGATTTTTGGTGATTTTAAACGATTTTTACAAAATTTTTAACAATGTTTTTATATTAAAGAAATGTGAAAGAAATTAGTGCTAGATACACAAGATTAAATGATACCTGGGTTACAGTGATAGATGTTTTATAAGCTTTGTGATTTTATTGAAAATATTTGAACAAAATTAGTGTGAGTTCTTATGGTCGATATTCCCTGATTTTACTTTATCCAAGAGCAGGGAATATGGTAATAAGTGTGAACAAAAAGTAATAGATGTCAATAAGTTACTGTCTCCGTTCGTTAGTAGAGAAGGGGGTCGCGGTGGCTCGCTAGCCGAAGGTCGGGTGTTCGATCCCTGCATTGGCCGAGAAAGTTCATCCAGATTTTCTGGCATTGTTCCCCCTTGTCGGTGATGTAGGACGGAGGGAATGACAAGGACAGCTGTCTAGTCGTTCGGATGGGACGTAAAAGATCTCTTGACAGTTGGAATTCGATATAAGAGTAGGTCGTAGTGCCGCAGTCTGGGCAAAATTTCCCTTATAGCACACTGTATGGTGTATGCCCGTCTTCATTAGCCCAGTTCAGAGCAGAACAGTAGGACGTTAAACCCCATTTCATTTGGTTAGTAGAGGGACTATATTTGATGATGAGAGATAAGCATTTCGACGTATTGATGCCTGAACATGACAACGTTCCGTAATGAGTGTTTTCTGTTAAGATGAAGCAGGGATAACTAATTTGATTGGTCATCACTTTAGAATACAAAAACTTAGATTTTAATTGATTAGTGCCATGATTCATTACATCAATACCATAAGATTATTTAAGTTTGATGATAAGCATTTTCAACATGGATAGCGTTGACTAAGCAACAAATAACTGTTATAAATGAAAATATATGTCATTAATAGATCAAAGTCATCAGTTTATATACATAGTGAGTATTAGTTAGTTAAAATTGTTAGTAATCAGGCAGTAGTCATTAAGTAGGTGTTTCGTCACTAAAGTGTTAAAACTGTGACTATTGAATGATACCACTTTTGGTTAGGATCGTGTTATAAATAGTCACATTTTTTACAGCTAGTTACACACTTGCTAATTAATGACAACAGTATAATTTCTAACCACTTTCTATACATACTAAACATTAGTTTAGAATACTGACCACTTATATGATTTAATGACAAAAATTGTCATTACTAAAAGGCCTAGCTTCATTAGTCAACGGTATCAGCTTACATGTGTTAAGCAGTTTGATTTGTGAATGCATTGGACAACAATAACTCTTGATTCTAATGAATATTTTTTGTCCAGGTTCTGAAGAGTAATAAGTCTATTTAAAATTTTAATTTGTAAATGCTTTATTAGAAAATAAATCAATAGATATGCAAGTAAGTAATGAATGTCATCTATTTATTTCGGGGGGAACATCACCCTCACTGTTAGCTTGTTTCTTAAAACATGCTGAACCAATTTGGATCAAATCAATTTAAAATTAATATTATTGGAAATTTGATTATAAGCAGATTAAATAGAAATAAAGCAGGAAATTGGCAGAATTATGTCTCACTTTAACCACTTCTCTCCAGTTACATTTTAAAAATCAGAGAAAACTGATCTGTTTTATATTGAGTTTTGCAACTCATTTTCAAAACCTCCTGAAATTACTGCTCCCTTGACCACCTCAAATTGACCCAGTCACTGAAATAGTAAACAGTTCTAAATAGTTCACAGCTGTTCAGGTGACTTGGGTTTTTTTTAGGTACAAGAGGGAGAAATGGGAGCAGTATGTTGAAGTGGTAAAGGGACGGTTCATTTAGTTGAAATGTAACTTATTTCTATCAGGTTTAACACCACGTACAAGAGAAAGTAAAAAAAGTAAAGTAAATAAAAGTCAATCACCAAGAGATGAAGAAAGAGAAAATTCACCAAATAATCAGCAAGATGAACAACACTTGATTGACAAAACTGGTAAATTGCCTATTGTTTTTAGATTAGATTTAAAATACTTCTATTGACTTTTAAATGTTTTAATGATGTGACACCTTCCTTTTTAATTTTGTCCAGTCTTTTAGATTTTTATAACACTTCTTGAATGTTACAATCATTCAGTGATGAAGCCAAACTTTCAAGTTATGGAGAACAATCTTTTCGTTTCCAGCATCTAAACAGTGGGATTCCTTGTCTTTAATTCAGTTGTACTTCTTTAATAACTGTTAAATCATAACTCAAAAAAAAACCTTATTATTCCAAAAGGCTGTTAAATGTTAAATTGATTTTAAACCTTTCCAATTATCTGTACTTTTCTGTTTTATAGATATTTATATTTTTATAGATTTTAGAGATATTTATATTTTTATAGATTTTAGAGATATTTATATTTTACTGGGTTCATATAGAAACTTATATTTTACTTGTTTCATAGATATTTATATTTTACTGGATTCATAGATATTTATATTTTACTGGATTCATAGATATTTATATTTTAATGAAGATATTTATATTTTAATGAAGATATTTATATTTTACTGAATTCATATAGATATTTATGTTTTACGGGTTTCATAGATATTTATATTTTACTGGTTTCATAGATAACAGTATTTATTTATTTTTATACGCCCACATTTTCATGTGGACGTATTATGCCGTCGCCCCTGTTCGTCCGGACGTCCGTCCGTCCGTCCACAATTGTTTTTGGACTCTCTACAGGTCACAATTCTTATCCGATTTTGACGAAACTTGAAATATAGGTTTATGCCCAAAAGATCTCGACTGCTTTCGATATTGGCATGTATCGGATCGAAACTTCATGAATTATGGCCCCTGATTGTACGAAAAATCACGTTTTTAGCTTGTGGACCCTATAGGGGTCACAATTTTTATCCGATTTTTTTGAAACTTGATATGTAAGTTTATAACCCAAAGATCTCTGTTCCTTTCGATATTTGCGCATATCGGACCGTAACTTCCTGAATTATGGCCCCTGATTGTACGAAAATACGCATTTTTAGCTTGTGGACCCTATAGAGGTCATAATTTTTATCCGATTTAAAAAAACGTATTATTAAATCACCGTTACACCCTAAGGATGGCTGTGTTTGAATTTCGTGAAAATCGGCCCAAAACTGACAGACAAAATGGTCGTCCTTCATTCTCAAATAGCGTAAAAATATGGTATATCAAGGTTGTGGACCCTATGGAGGTCACAATTTTAATCCGATTTTGTTGAAACTTGAAATGTAAGTTTATAACCCAAAGAATTTGGTTCCTTTCGATATTCGTGCATATCGGACCGTAACTTCCTGAATTATGGGCCCTGATTGTACGAAAAATCACGTTTTTAGATTGTGGACCCTATAAAGGTCATAATTTTTATCCGATTTAAAAAACCGTATTGTTATATCACCGTTACACCTTAAGCACGACACCCGTGAAAATCGGCCCAAAACTGACAGATAAAATGGCCGCCCTTCGTTCTCAAATAGTGTAAAAATAGGGTATATCAAAGTTGTGAACCCTATAGAAGTCACAATTTTTATCCGATTTTGTTGAAACTTGAAATGTAAGTTTATAACACAAAGATCTCGATTCCTTTCGATATTTGCGCATATCGAATTGTAATTTCCTGAATTTTGGCCCTTGATTGTAGGAAAAATCACTTTCTTCTTAGCTTGTTCTCTATCCATCTCTCGAAAATGTGGGCGTATCCTGCCTGGCAGCCGCTGGTTTACTGATTTTATAGATATTAATATTTTACTGATTTTATAGATATTTTCTTTTTACCAATTTTATAGTTATTTTTTTTTACTGATTTTATAGATATTTATTTATTTATACTCATTTTATAGATATTTATATGTTCAATATTTATTGTACATGCATGTGAAAGATAAGTGTTGTATAATAATAATAATAACTAGATCTGCCAGGCAGATATAAAAGCTTTCATATTCATCGTCACTTGCTGTCATGGAATTCATCAAAATCTCAAAAAGAAAAAAGAATAATTACAATGGGTCAAAAACATGTTAAGTTATAACGAGAAACATTTCTCCCAATAAACTTCTTCTCTGAAAATAAAGGGAGATAGCTCTGAATAAAAGTTATATTTCTGGAATCGAAATAACCTCTGCTGTTAGAATAAGTGTGTGAAATTTTTAAATTTATCAAAGGTGCCTTTTTGACACAAATAAAGTCAAAGACAACATTCCTAATTTTGACAAGCTATAAAGAAATGTATAAATAAGAGGAATTCACGAAAATAAGGCGTATTGTTTTAATATTTCCAAATTGAATTTTTCAATATTTTTCATATTAAATTCAAAATGGTAACCATTAATTGACTGGAATCCAAGTTTTGTAGGCATTCTGTCAAGGATGTCTGCAAAATAACTCCCATGATTGTGAGTAAAAAAGTGTCAGAGCCTTATGTTTGGTTATGGAAACTGTGTCCTTAGAACACATTTTGCTTTTTACCTTCTTGTTTATTGAAATGTACTTATACAAAATTATATTTAAAGATCTTTTTTTAAAACCTTTTCAGGACAAACAGTGGTATTGGATGAAGAACTTTTCGCTCATCAAAGTGTTAATCCTGTAAGTAGCTTTTTATGTTGTGGACTTTGTAAAAAAAATTCCAGTTATAATTTGAAAACACTACCTACAAAAATCATTATATTGTTAATGCATTTATCAAATAGATATTTTATTTGTTTAAATTTATATAAAATGAATATATCATATGTTTTTCTAGGCCAGTATAGCACTGCCACCAAGAGAATCTGAAATGGGCACTGGTAAACCAATAAAAAGTAAATCACTAACCCCTACTCCATCTAATACACAATCGGCCTCTGCAAAAGATGAAGCCAAAAAACGGTGAGATAATTTGTATTGGATATTGTTGATACATATACCATACTATCTGAAAATTTATACAGAAGTGAATTCAGAAATTTGGTATATTACACATACTTATTTCATTAAACATCACATTAACTATGCTAATGTAACAATATACAAGGTGACTCGGTCATCTACATATCATGACCTTGCACAAATAATTAGTGGAAGTTTTATAAAGAAATTTGAAATGGTTACTGAGGTATGCTCTACAAGCAAATCCAAAAAAAGACAGACACAGTCAATTTCAGTTCCCCTCCCCTAAAGTCTCTGTAATGTAAGTGATTTTTAATCTCTTGTATAATACAATATTGTGACAGTTGAATTTATATCTAAAAGGGAATATCAGTCTAAAATTGTTTCAGTTCAGTTCAGTATTTACAAAGATATGATGAATTGATAATTGTCAACATTCTATACTGATGAAATATACGAGATGTGGTCAAAACAAGTCAGCACCCCATATTATGATCTGTTCTAAGATCTTTTGATGGACTAATTTTTTTTTCTTAATTAAATATAAAATAATCAATTTGAGTATATTTATTGTGGATTAAGCCATAGAATAATAGATATACTCCCAAAAATATAGATGAAATCATAAACAAAAGTAAAAAGACAATTGCATAAATGATTTTAAACTCTCACAAGTTTTTATTGATCTTTACTCCGATAGAAAATAAACTACCTTGTCTAATATATCATATTTAAAATTAATGTTATTGAAAATTGCATGATTATTGGATTAGATTACAAGAGTTAGAGAATCAGATGGTTGGAGGTGAAAATGTCAACAACCAAGAAGTAAAAGAAAGAAGAAAAGTTAGAAAAAAGTTTGCTGAACAAAAACGTCTTAAATTAGCAGGTTTGTAGATATGGATAGCACGGTTCGTTTCTGTGGAATTTATCGGTAATGCTAATTGCAAACTCGCCACATTAAGTAAGCAAGACATTATATTCAATCATAGATTTGTCCATACACATTTCAGTATTACAACTGGGGATGTAAATGTCAATCTCCCTTTATTGTATTGCATTCCAAACCTGCACAAAAATCCATTGAAACAGTATTATGTAGGAAGTTTTTCCATAGTTTCACAAAGGACCTTTCCATTTTAATGGCTATCAAAGATGACCCTCAAATATACTGTGAAACAATATACTCCAACAGTAGCATTGTTCAGATGTAGATTCTTTAAAATTTACTGTCACACTCACTGTCTACTCGCCTGTCCAAACTTGTGGGTTTTCTCCGGGTCCTCCAGTTTCCTCCCACTACTAAAGACCCCTATGCCCAAGCGAATTGTGTAAATAAAATCGAACCATATGTTGGTCCCAAAATGACCTAGTTTGTGTCGAGTGGACGTTAAACCTTATTTCTCTCTCTCTGTCTCTCACTGTCTACAGATTCCTACACATACATATACCACATGCCACTTTTCCACATACCGGTAGTAAGTTAAAATCTAGACTTAAAGATATGAGAATTTGAAATTCTAGATATACATAAATTTTCATCAATTATAATTATACATATTTTGTTAAAAACCATGACACTAAGCACAGATACAGTGATAATGACACTTAAGGATATTGGAATTCCTTGCTGACAACATATTTATTCAATTTTGAGGAGTAATTTTTCATCAAGTAATTGGTATTCTTATGGGAACCAATTGTGCCCCCTTTGCTCACTAATTTGTTTATGTATGCAAAAGAACAAAAGACTGACTTAATTCAACTTACAGGTGTATTGATGATGTTTTGTCATAAAACAATTTTAAGTTGCATCATTTGTTTGTGTGCCATTACAGATGCTCTATTAGTATCTTAAGCATGACCGCATTACACACAAACCGACATGACAAACCTGCGGACAAGACAAACTACATAGACATTGCAAAAAAAACCAAAACAAATATCAAATCAAGTGAATGAATCTTGGGCCATCCATAATGCATTATAACATTACACTCAGACTTTACAATTATCCAAACTTTTTTGTTATATATTTTTAATATATATTATACAGAAGCTGTAGCTAAGATGGATGATGATGGTATTATGTTAAAGTTGTTTGATAATGTACACGATGAACTTAAAGTTAAAACACAATTACTTGAACATGAAAAGGAAAAGGTATAAGTATTTCCTTTCTGGTTTATATTCACTGAGGGCATTAATAAATCACTGAGCATTCTGAATCTGTAAATTAATTTATTACATAATTTAGTGGGCAATCAAATAATTATGTCCATTAAAAAAATGTTACCCATTCATTTCTTTCCCATCCTAATGTAATTACCCGACCAACCTTAATTTTGGTGGCCAAGAAACCGTAAACCCAGGTATTTTTTTATTTGGCCATAAAGGACAAATTTGTAGACCAGATCCAAATATCACAGAATACTTACTCCACAAAATTGGGACCAGGTTTTTTTTCTCGGCCTAAGGTTATATAGGGGGGTTGGATGGCTGAATGGTTAGTGTGTGCGTGCTATATTATAAATTCTGTCATTGAGTCAACTGACGTGGTTTCGATTCCCCTGTTGTATGTGACAACGTGTAGGGTCGCCTGTCCAACCTCGTGGGTTTTCTCTGGGTCTTCCGGTTTCCTCCCAATGCTAAAGACCTCTACGTGCAAGCGAATTATTGAAATAAAATTAAATCATATGTTAGTCCCAAAATGACCTAGTTTGTGTAGAGTGGATGTTAAACCCCATTTCTCTCTCTCTCTCTCTCTCTCTCTCTCTCTCAGGTTATATTTATAGTGCAAGGTGAAATTTATGTAGCATGTAAATTCTGTAGGAAAAATATGACTGCATTACTGAATGCTCTGTTCTAAGGGTAGGGTAAATGAAGTACAAGTTACACATTAACCTGAGATCTTGGTGAAAGATTTCATTACCTTTTCACTAAATTATATTTTTTACAAATATTATTTATGTTTTATTTATCAGGTATTGGGATTAGAGAGAGAAGTATTAGATCTACAGTCTGAGTTTGAGTTTGATCGTATAGATTATCTAGATACAATGAGAAAACAAGATAAGCAAATTAAACTATTAGAAGCTTTACTAGAGAGAATACAGCCATGTATACGCAGAGATTCTAACTATAGTAATCTAGATAGAGTTAAACTAGATTGTAAATGGGATGAAGCTAATGAGAAATGGATATTACCTAAACTAGTCATAGAACGTACAGCTTTACCCTCTACAGGTAATGTTGATGTTAATTCTTAAATTGTTGTCCAAAAAGAAAGTAAAAGACGCATTATTACTAAAGTTTGACTGTTAAATTTTGTGAATATCATGCCAGACAGTGTTTGCAGTGTTTTTTCAGGGAATTCAGTATTTTTTTAGTAAGATTGGATGTTTCTACTTTCCATATATACCAAAATTGCTATACTTTTATTGGAAATAACCACCTGATAAATACTTTTGTTGGAAAGTAGCTCTAAGTCTGTAATTAAATATGTGTGTATGAAGTGGTCATACAGTAGCTTATATCTTAGATCAATAACATGTCGGGTTCAGTGGTTCTAAATAAATGTTAGTATTTCATATATGATAGAAAATAGTCTAACTTTCATGAAAGTTATGGAACACTTTGTCACGTTTTTTCTGTATCTTCTGATCGATGAATATGTAATATTTATGCTGTGCTCCTTGTTCTGTCTATGCAGGCTAACAGAAGACACAATAACAGTAGAAAAGAAATAGATTTTTTTTCTTGCTCCAATGTTGAATAAAGTAATGTTTGCTTCCTAATTGCAGGTCCAGGGACTACCATGCCCAGTGTAAGATCATCAGAGGCACGTAATCGACCAATAGGTGGACCCTCCAATGGTGATATAGGACATGGTTATAATGACCCGGTTGATGACAGATATCGTGAGGTACAGTACCATGATGACTTACATTTGGTTCAGTTATTGGCGGAATGTCCTTTGAATTGCATCCAGGAATCTAATATGACAGGATACAATGAATAGTTGGCTAATTACGATGTGTAATATTACCCTGACAAAATTACTATTATCAATCTGAGAGCAATATTTTTTAACCAATGACAGTTCTCATTTCTTTTTTAATTTTGAAATAGGATCGTGCACAATAGAACTAACACTAATAACAGTTTCATTGGGTAATTTAGATGGACAGCACTATATGTGGGTGTGTCTAAACTATAGTTGTTAGCCATAGACTTATTGGTCACAGTAATCCATGACTTGTGGAAATTACAGTATTACCTTGACCCTGGAAAGATAAATGATATGGATTGGAAAAATCTTAAATATAAAATTAAAACAAATGTTTGTGTGTACAATGTCAGATTGTTAACCAAGTATCATGATTATTTATGTATCTGCACTTTTAAAAGTCTTGACATTTAAACTACCACATCTGTAAATTGAAATTGTTTTTTCAGAGACTGGGAAGAAATGACGATTTCTCTAATTCTTATTTTCAACCAAAGAGAGCAAGTCAGTTGATTGGTTCACCAGATCCTTATCATAAAATCAGTAAGTTATTCTATTTTAATGACAATTTAAACATGAAATTATTAAAATGGGTCCGTCCATCCGTCTATCTGTACATGTCTGTCCTTTACACTTTTTGAGACACAATAAATCTCCTCCTAATTGAGCTAGAATGTTCAATAAACATGTAGGTGTTTATTAGGTGAATGCCTTGATGGAGTTCGAAGATGAGCATTTTCTGCTTAGGCTAAGCATAGATAAGCGGTTTGATGCTTTGGAACACGATAAATTTAGTTCTAATGAAGTGAGAGTGGTGAAACTTTGTGTATAGTTTCATTATGTCAATACCTTGACTAAGTTCGATAATGAGTATTTTCTTCACAGGGTAAGCAGAGCGATAAGAAATTTGATTAGTTGAGGCTTTGGAACACAATAACTGTGGTTCTAATTTGGTAAGAGTGATGAAACTCCAGGGAATAGATTCATAATTTTAACATCTTGTCGCGAAGTTCGATGATGAGAATTTTCTACTTAAGCAATTTGATTAGTCAATATTTTGGAACATAACAACTCTACTTTTAATTGAGGTAGAATGTTTGAACTTATGGAGAGTGATGAAACTTAGTGTATAGTTTCACTACCAGATACTTCAAAACCTTTATTGAGTTTGATCGTGAACATTTTCTGCTTAGACTAAATATAGATAATCAGTTTGATTACTCAGTATTTTTCAAAAAGATAAATGTGCAATTAATTAGCATGTGTCATCTATTTATTTGGGAATTTCGGCAGGGGACATCAGCCTCACTTGGCCTACTGTATGGTACGTATGCCCATCTTCATTTGTAGAACAGTGTGACGTTAAATCCCATTTCATTTCATTTTAAATAATTCTACGCTTTGTTTGTTTTCAGATATGAGAGAAATAAGGAATAGTTACGGCGTCAGTAGTAACGGTAATATAAGTAACGGAAACGGTTTTACTGAAGAACCAATGAAAAAAGAATTACGAGCTGCTGCAGTGCACGGACAATTGATAGAACAAGAGGAGGCTGGACTACGACGACCTGGTAAACTTGAAGCACTACCTGCTGGCAAAAAATCCAAGAAAAAGAAAGGTACTTTAAATGATGGTTATTAATTAATAAGATATATAAAACTACACACATATCTGTACATATGATTTTTTTTATTTATTAAGGGCACATCAAACCAATCTGTTCACATATAATTTGCTTAGGTCAAAAATGTGTGACCTGTTGTGATAGCAAAATGAGTTTTTAAGATATGAACGAACCGTTAAAATGGGCTTAAAATACCTTTTTAGTGATATAATGCAAAAGGTTAAAGTTAATCACACTACATTTTTTCATATTTTTAGCCTATTTTCAGATTTTTGTTTGTATATTATTATCGTGAACGATGACTTGCAACTCATTTTGCTACTAAGGAAAAAGCAGAATATTTTTTTTTTATCTTAGACCCATAAAGATGAAAGTGTAAAATCAATAGATTAGAAACCAATGTCAATTTAAATCTCCAAAACAAAAGTTGAAATTGACCCATTTGAATAATTTTTGAACCAAAATGTTCTTATTGTGTTTTGTCTTAGCCCGTTAAGCGTGACATTTTTAAAACATTAACTACCCCCTATTGTGTAATTAATTTGACGAAGTGACAAAGAACTATGTATTATGTTCTAAAAATAGGTTGGGGAAAATACCTCCAAGGCGTTATATTACGCCCTACACACAGTGAGTGGCAGTTGTCCAGGACGTTATATAACGACCTACGCACTTAACGGGTTAAACTATATATTTAACATGTGTAAAGGTCATAAAAAGTAATACAAAAAAAGGGTTTATCACATATTCAAATAATAATTGGAGGGTCTAGAGCATAAGTGATCTAACTACAAACATCCTGTTTTTAGAAAATTAACCTCAAAATCTAAACCATTTCACACCACTATTGGTACCAAATTCAAATTATTACTGAATATTATACACGTTGAGGGCTATCTCTGTTCATGTGCCCACTTCAATCTGGCTTTCATGAAAAAATGTACAGGCTTTTTAATTTCAGATAGATCCCTTGAATACATGCAAATTATCCAACTTAGATTTAAAAACTAGAGTTATATCAATAGTCACAAATCCATTTTTATACGCCCACATGTATTGGTCACTGTATTTGTAGTCAAAAAATCATTCACTGCTGCCTAGGTTACCAGTTAACATTCATGAACAGAGATAATCATGTCTCAAATCAAGTGTTGCTCATGCTGAAGTTTAGTGAAATTGTAGAGGTGCAAAGTTAAAGTGGATGGAGGAGGGGTAAGATGGATGGGCCAGGCAAGTAAAGTGTGTAGGACGGGAATGAGGTGGGAACCAGGGTTGGGGGATTAGAATGGGAGGGGAGGAGTAAGGTGACTGGAGGAGTGTATGTCTGGTATAAATGGGTAGTGTTGGTATTTGATAAGAAAGGTAGAAAGAGCATGGAAGGCAGAATGAGCGGAAGCGATTATAATAGGTGGAAGGTGATATGGGGAATTGTTATGGGGAATTGTTATGGGAGGTGAGAAGGTGATGATCAGTGGACATGTAGAAATGAATGGAAATAAGTGACACACTCAAATAATATAACATACACGTACCAGGGTTGATTAGCAAACTAATACATGTTTATAGTGGTGGTATCAAGGAATCATATTGTCATTTTGAACTCAAATTAATCTATGACCAAAGGGGATAGATTACTGTATATTTTCATGTGGACGTATTATGTTGTTATCCCTGTCCGTCTGTGTGTCCGTTAAACTTTTTTTTTTGTGGACCCTCTACAGGTCACAATTTTTATCTGCTTTTGATGAACCTTTAAATATGACTTTATATCCCAAAGATCTCGGTTCCGCTTGTGGACCCACTAGAAGTCACAATTTGTATTAAATTTTAAAAAAACATTTAAATATATCACCATTACCCATCAATGAATGTTGAGTTTGAATTTTGTAAAAATCTGACCCAAACTGCCGGACAAAATGGCCGCTCCTTGTACGCAAATAGTGTAAAAGTATGTAATACCAAGGTTGTAGACCCTCTAGAAGTCACAATTTTTATCTGGTTTTGAAGAAACTTAAAATGTATCTTTATATCCCAAGTATCTCATTCTATTTCGATATTGCCGCATTTCAGACCATAACTTCCTGGATTATGACCCCTGATTGTACGAATAATCGCTTTTTGTTTGATTTTTTTACTTTGTTCTCTATCCATCTCTTGCAAAATGTGGGCCTATCTTGCCTGGCAACCACTAGTTTCTCCTTGTCCACCAGTTTTCTCTCACTGCTAAAGACCCTATACGCTCATTTCAATTATTGAAATAAAATTTACAATGTTAGTCCCAAAATGACTTACTTTCTGTTTAATAGACATTAAAACCATTTCTGTGTCTCTCCTTCCCTTCCATAGAATCATTTGTGCTAAATTACTCAATGCTGTTTAAAGGATTACCAAGGAATTGTATGATACCACTTATTTCACACCATAAATTCACTTTCAATTAAAAGAATATTATGGAATCCATGTAGCCGATTCTCACAATGGAAAACCTTTTGTGTTGCTAATGTATATTTTGCAAGAAACCTCTTATCTCTTCATGAATAGAAATAATCCCAGTTCATTCTCTTTAACTGAAATGTGAGAATAGAACTAGATACAACATGAACAAAATGTATGATCTGGTAGCCCAGCTGTATGCTGAAGGCTCTTACATCTTTAAATAGATGATGAGAAAGTTATGAAATAATCGGTTTATTATTACATGTTATGTTTGGTCTGTGATAAACAGAACATAAACTTTAATGGTAAATATTCCATCGCATCTATGTACATATATTATTAAGTTTTTAAATTCTATGAAATGGATGCCTGTTTTGTTAAATTAAATATTATTATATGGCCATATTATTTTCAATTTGTTAGGTGTTACTGTGTTTGTATATAAAAATATTTTAGGAACAATCATGTTATGCAAATATTGTATAGTCTTATCACTGTACTTCTAAGTTATTTTAAAACATTTTATTTAACTATTTGGTAAGTTATTGTAAAACTTTCCGCCTGAGAGTGTATTTTTTTACAAATTATTGTAAAACATTCCATCCAAATGATTTTTTATCAGTTATTGTGATATATTTATCCAAATAAATTTGATCAGTTATTGTAAAATATTGAATTTTATCAGTTATTGTAAAAATATTCCGTCCAAAGACATTTTATCAGTTACTGTAAAACATTTCGTCCAATGGAATTTTATCAATTATCGTAACATATTCCAGCCAAAGAAATTTTATCTGTCTAAATAAATTTTATCAGTTATCATAAATATTCCACCGATAGGAATCTTATCTCTTATTGTAAAACATTCCATCCAAAAGTTTGTTCTGTTATTGCTTTTTGAAAACATTGTATTGGAATTCCACTCAAGAATATTATTTAAAACATTTTTGTTGAAAAATATTCTTGTTAGTTTCTGATTGCATTGTGAAAATTATAATTGATTGTAATTACGGTATATTAGTTTTGTTGGAACAATTACCATATTGGTATGATGAATTTAAATGTTTTAATTATTACACACAAATCAGAACATATGTCGTATATTCTTTGTATACATTGGTCATATTCATGTTAAAAACTAAATGTATTAAAATTGATCTTTCATGAAGAAATGTGCAAATATAAGCTCTTAACACTACACTCCTCAATATTGTGATTTAGAATACACCCTCTATTAGTTTTGGTTGTTCCGGTGTTAACTGTGATAACAGAAGACAATTTGTTAATGATATTAAAGGTCACCAGAAAAGCTTCATAATCATATATTATTTAAATAATACAAGTAATTATGGCAACATATTCGAGTTCCTGTTATACTTATGGAAAGGATATGTTGACATAATTACTTTCTTTATTTAAAAAAAAAATGAAGCTTTTCCGGTGACCTTTAACACTTTAAGTAAAATTTTTAAGTATAAGCTGAAATGTAAACAGTAACAAATCTTTTTATTTTGTCATTATAAATTTTTTTTTTTCATTTATTAAACTGTGATATTACATTGTTAGTTATATTTATTTTGTAATGCAGACATTTATATGTCAATCCATTGTCCGTCAATATTGTCTTGAAATTTAGGTGGGGTTGTGTAGCAATATATGTTGGTCGAATATGGCAAAGCGGTGCCACCAAATCCTTTACCTCATCCAACGTCGGATATATTCTCAGCTACACGTCTTGTTACCAGTGATCGTCTAGATTTGTCTCAGAGGTATATTATTGTTATTCTTTTCTTAAGACTGAACAGTTACAGGAATAACAGTACAACAGTTTCTTTAACATCTTTATATGGAAGCAGATTACATAATAGTCTACATTACAATACTCAAAATTAACATGTCTTTAGCTATGGCAAAGCGGTGCCACCAAATCCTTTACCTCATCCAATGTCGGATATATTCTCAGCTACACGTCTTGTTACCAGTGATCGTCTAGATTTGTCTCAGAGGTATATTATTGTAATTCTTTTCTTAAGACTGAACAGTTACAGGAATAACAGTACAACAGTTTCTTTAACATCTTTATATGGAAGCAGATTACATAATAGTCTACATTACAATACTCAAAATTAACATGTCTTTAGCTACCACACTGCTGATAGAAATCTGTACATCCTGTCTACCCTAAGAACCAGCAGTATCTCCTAAGGAATCTACATGGTATCTGATCTCTAAAGAATCAAATGCATGTCTGTCCTGACGCACACAAATCTTTTGTTTTATATGTCTAGACTTCTGCGATTAATTATTCAAATGGCCAAACTTACTCAATTAATTATGTGATTGGTTACTTATGCCTAAAGACATAATTGGTAACCCTCACGAGTGTTTTGGACAATACAAAACTAGCCTTGACTGTTTGACTGTAGACCTGATATATCCTGTTTTTCTCACAGTATATTGAAAATTGAAAATAAATTAACTCTGTTTAAAATAAACTCATATTAAAGGTTATCAAGCAATATATATTATGTCAATGAACTAGACACATGACAGATGTGTTTATCAAATTATAATTCATGTCTGTTTGGTGTACTGCTATATCTAACTGGTTTATGTCCAAGCCATAAAATTCTTATATTTGCCTAATTTAATTATTCATACAGATATCATAAATGTCCCAATATTATTACAGTTCGGTGGCCGAGTAGTCTAAGGGGTGTGCTTTAGATCATAAAGTCTGTCATTGAGCCAAATGGCATGGTTTCATCCTACACTTGTACCTGATCATGATGAGGAATAGTGTCACCTGTCTAGCCTTGTGGGTTTTCTGGTATTTCGTCCCACTAGTGCACTATCTGCAAGCGAATTATTGAAATAACAAGAGCATCACTACTGCTGCAATATATGTCAACATAACTGCTTTGATTGATATGGTACTTTTTAAAATGAAGAGCATGAAATATGGCAGCAATGAGTATAGTATGACAAGAGGCAAGGTGTTGGGTTTGTTTTGCCAAGGGGGTTACGGTGGCTAAATGGGTAAGACGCTGGCTCACTAGCCTAGAGATCGGGTGTTCGATCCCTGCCGAGAAAGTTCATCCAGATTTTTCGGCATGGTTTCCCCCCTTGTCAATGATGCTTGATGGAGGGCCTGACAAGTACAGCTATCTAGTCGTTCGGATGGGACAAAAAACCGAGGTCCCGTGTACACATTGGCATGCACATAAAAGATCCCTTGACAGTTGGAATTCAATATAAGAGTAGGCCATAGTGCGTCTGTCTGGGCAAAATTTCCCTCATAGCACACTGTATGGCGTATACCCGTCTTCATTAGCCCAGTTCGGAGCAGAACAGTAGGATGTTAAACCCCATTTCATTTGTTTCGCCAAATTTACAGACTAAATATATTAACAAAAAGTGGGTGTGTGAAACTGCCCCAGGGTGTCGGGGCATGCACCAAAATAAATAGTAGCTGTCCTTGCAATATAAGGAATAAATATGCAATTTCCAAGATGATCCACTCAGAATTGCCATCTGTAGATGATAAACACAAAAATTGGGCCTGGCTCTGCCCCTGGGGGTTGGATATGTACTGAACAAAATATGTTAATAATTGCAACTTGTAGAGTATTTACAGAAAAAAAATTAACAAAAAAGTGGGTGTGGTACTACACCCCTGGGGGTCGGGAGTCGGGACAGTTGCTATCCTTTCGTACAAGGAATAAATATGATCCATTCAGAATTCCAGCCTGTAGACAAAAAACACAAAAATTGGGTGAGGCCCTCACCCTGGGAGTTAGACAATAATTTGCTTGTGCGTAGGCGTCTTTAGCAGTGGGAGGAAACTGGAGGACCCGGAGAAAACCCACGAGGTTGGACAGGCGACCCTACTCCTTGTCACATACATGTATGGGATCGAAACCACGCCACTTGACTCAATGATAGACCTTATATTTATCTAAAGCTATGCGTTAAACCATTCAAGCCCCCCCCCCCCACACACACACACACACTCACATCGCAAAGACACCCTGATGATGTGTTGAATGAGCCAGTTGATGTTGAATGGACATTAAACCCCATTTAATTTTTTTCTCATATTTTAGCTCTTTTTTTTAAAAAAAAAGCTTTCATTTAGATGAAGGGTTTTTATTTCAGAGAACATACAACTAATAGAATTTCTATCTCAATTAACATGAGTTTAAAATTTGAGTCCAGCCAAGATCATGAAATTTAATATTATACTATTCAAAAAAAGTAGGGGATATTTGATTTTTAAGTGTTATTAAAGTCACCTAATGAAACTGACGAAGAAACAAATGACAAAATGAAATGAAGTTCACATTCATCGATTTATTCCAAATGATCGTTAGACTAAGTAAGGCACAGACTGACCATTATAAGGGTAAAATGATACCCGGGGTCAAACAGCAAAGTTACCACAGCATCACAACCAAGTCAGTAACGGGTAAATCCTCCTCTGTTTGCCAAACAAGCATTGATCCGACGTGGCATACTCCTAATGAGACGTCTAAGGTCATTTTGGTCCAGATTGTCCCATTCCTGTTGCAACGCAGCAGCAAGTTCTTGGACATTGGCAGGACGTTGTTGACGTTGACGTAACCTCTGTCCAAGCATGTCCCAGACATGCTCGATGGGGGAGAGGTCGGGACTCAGTGCTGGCCAAGGTAATGTGGTGATGTTCTGTTGTTGGAGGTAACCTGTAACGATCCTGGCCCTGTGACATCTTGCGTTGTCATCCTGGAAGATGAAACGGCGGCCATGACGTCGTGCGAACGGCACAACATGGACTGCCAAGATGTTGTCCCGGTAGTACTGGCCTGTAACACGCCCTGCAACAACATGTAAAGCCGTTCTTCCAGCAACAGTGATGCCTCCCCACACCATAACAGAACCACCCCCAAATCGATCATGTCTGATGACGTTAACGTCTTGGAAGCGCTCGTTTCGACGACGCCACACCCTCCTACGTCTGTCCAAAAAATCAACAGTGAACCTTGACTCATCTGAAAACATCACATTGCTCCAGCGTCGATTATCCCAGTGTTGACGATCCCTACACCAACGACGTCTTGCCTGAATGTGATGATCTCTCAAACAAGGGATCACGCGAGGACGTCGGGCGCGAAGGTGACCCGTCGATTCCGAATCGTCTGGCCACTCACTCTCACACCAGTGTCTGTTTGAAGACGAGCGCTGATCTGATTTGCTGTGATGACACGATTTCTCAAGGCCAAGGTACGGATAAATCGATCCTGGGCTTGAGTTGTCGCCCTTGGTCGACCTGAGCGTGGTCTGTCCTGTACAGATTGTGTATCACGGTATCTGGACCATAGCCTGCTTATGACAGACTGAGAAACATTCATCGTCCGCGCCACAACCGCCTGTGTTGTGCCGATCTGTAGCATGCCAAGGGCACGTAACCTTTCATTTTGGGTAAGCCGACGCATATCAAAATTTGTTTTCTGGTCACTAAAACAATTAAACTGATGTTTCCACCCTGGAATCCAATGCCACAATGACTGTAACATTCAAAGTCAGAGTCGTGCAAATCTTGGGTTGGACCCCCATGATGATCCCAAGCATCACCTGCATTCCATGCGGTAGCTATTGGTGCGTTTGGGCGTCACATGTAACTGGAAATGTTTCTTCTGTTAGGTTCTATAGTGTCTTTTTTCGTAGTCATTTGCATATTTTAGTATTATGCCCCCAAAATCAAATATCCCCTACTTTTTTTGAATAGTATATAACATAATTAACATTTTTTTACCACCAGTTAAATCAAAATAACAGCATTTTTGATAAAAGAAACATGTTATAAGACCTCACAAGAGCTAAACCTGCCTATCATAGGTCTTTTTTCTGGCTTCAAATGTTATATAAATCATTGTTTAGACATTTATTCACATGAGAAGCCCACAACCAACTCCCTAGACCATTTGATGGCTGAGCTATTAAACAGATTAGACAATATACCGTAATCGAGACTTGCAGTGCCGGATTTAGTTAAAGAGAGGCCCCAGACTATTCCAATTGTGAGGCCCATCCCAATTGCCCACTCTCGTGACTAGAGGAAGATGGAAGCAAAGCCGAGGATGATAGCAGATGTTTAAGACTAAAATGCGTGTAAGAAAGGCCTATGACAGTCTCAAAAATTTAAAACACCTTGGCAGGAGGCCCGATACCTTTTGAGGCCCTGGGCTTGCACCTGCCAAGACTATAGCTAAATCCGGCATTGGGTACTTGACAATCGAAACTATTTAGGCTAAATCTTGTCAAAATTCAAACATTCATAACTTCGTCCAGAATAAGTAATTTGATTTGATTGAAATTTCCTTTTTAATTATTAACTACTATATCAATTATAACGTCCAGCTCTTTATGTAAATCTTACATAAATGGCTTGGGTCAGCCAAGGTCAAGATCTTGGGCCCAAATGACAGCCCCGTGACTGGCCGTCTGTATCCTGACCTTGAACTTGACCATTTCCTTTCTGGCTTAAGTCTAGACGGTACATGAAATTTGGGGAGTTTATCGA